TCATAGCAGGACTCGACAAGTGTTCTGACATAGGAAGAGAAATAATATTGGGTTAAAATCACACATCTGTATGTCTATAAAGGAATATACAGATATAAACATAATCAAATCATTATCTTTCTCTCCGAATCTATTTCTGTAATAGATTGAGCTGTGCTGAAAGGCTTAGAAAGAAGATACATCTAATAATGTTCAAGGAAAGTTTATTAAAGCAACGTTGTAGTGTCTCTAGAAGGCTACTGTAAGAATCTTGCATTTTGGCTCAAGCCCAGGCTGTGGTGTTTCTCTGAGCCAAGATGGCTTCTGAGCAGGCAGGGATCTGGAAGCAGGTGTGCGTCATTGAGCTGGAAACACCTGGCCATTCCACATGAGGATTGTACGTGTTTTGGGATAGGTTCCCATGGAATTAGCCAAACCCCTGTAATTAATGAAGAGGCTTATAAAAGTGAAGCCTGAGAGAAGAGCATTTAGATTGTGCTTTGAGGTGGAAAGGAACATGAGATTTCATGATTGTGTGCTTCTAGAAAACAGGATCTGTTTGGTTAGATAAAAGATGTTAATGGGTTAGAAAAATCAACCCAAGCACTGTTCCTGAAGTGGGCTGATTATCTGTGGGACTTCACAAGCTGTGCTGTAGCTTGGAAATGCAGTAAGTGATGTTGTCCAGTAGGGAGGGCTATATTTGCTGAGAAGGTGTGTGTCAGCTCATGGGTTTGTCAGTGTGGAGTAAATTGCCATTGCAGAATTCCTGGTCAATGATGCCTGAATGTGGCTGTTCAGGGTATTGCATATGAACATGAGCTGAGCTTGTCCACATTGCTTAGTCTTCTCGGTATTTTAAAGAGTTGCTTTTGATGAGTTAACGGACTGCTTTATAGCCTCTGGAAGCAGTATGTCCTTAAGCACAGGACTATGGAAATCCTATGCACAATGGAGACTTCATGGGCATGTATTGTGCTGCCAAGACTTACTGGATGGCTCATTGTTGTGGTGAAGATGAGATAGTCCCTGGGAATGGGGTCAGGTTTGAAGGCTCTTGAGGAAAGCTGTAAACCAGGAAGAGCCCAGTGTGTCACTCTTTGGGATCAGAAACCCTGCTGCACAGCCAGTGGGGAGAGATCCCTGCACTGAGATGGCAGGTAGGGCACGGCTGTGCTTGGCTGTTGAAATGGGTAGCAATTGGAGGTACTGTGGATAAAAGCATAAGTCTTAACAACCCAGTTCCTTTGTGTTTTAAAGGGAGCTTCCTGAGTGCAGTATCTCCACTGGACAAGTCTGTGGGATGGTGTGTAAGGTAAGCTCATGTTCTCCAAGCGTGGGAGTCCAAATTGTGACTGACATGGGTAGTTCTGGTATTGTAGCATTCTTGGAATAACTGCAAAAGCAACTATTTATTTTTTTCCCCCCCTGCAGAAAGTCCCTTTGATCATGCGGAGAAAAATGGAGACTGCCAACTGAAACTCTCCAAGAAGAAGGGGATGTCATCAATGCTGCATCTATAATGTAGAACCAAGGACTTATGTCCTTGACCCTAATCTAATAACTGTATTGTCTGTGCAATAAAGTGAAGGGGTCACGGGCTGTCTTTGGATGGCTATTAATTTCTTTGAACTCTAGTTTTGGTACCACTAGACAATCTGATGGTGATCTTTACTAATTCATGAACTATCCATGAAAGTACTTTAAGCAACAATGTTATCTCCTAACATGTATGATGAGGGGAAAGCTGGGTATCTGTACTGGTAAGTCTTTATGGCCAAATCATGCTTTGCACTAACCAAGATGCTGTGGTTGTAATGCACAGGTTAAATAGCCTTGCAACTGCTGATGTACACTAATATAGACAGGAGCAAGGGTGCACAGTATAGCAACTAACCTACCAAGCTGGGAGTTGACAGGGGCTTCTACCTGGAATTGCTCTGACACCTCAGCGATGGTTGCTTTCTGCAGCTACTGCAGGGCAGTAACATCAGGTAGAGGTGCAGCATAGCTTAATTAGCCTTTCCCAAGTATGTAAGAACCTTCCCCTGTAATCCTCCCCATGAGCCTGCCCAGGAACCTTCAGCCCTTCATTAAGAGAACTTCATGGTTCTTTTTGAGATTTCTGAATTTCCTTTGCAAAAAAAACCAGCTAATAACAATGGTCTTATATAAAAAGAATTTGCTTAATCTAGTATTTTTAAGTGTGGGGAAAAGTGAGTCGAATCTTTAAATGTTTTGTATATTTAAAACCGACAATGAGAAACTGCATACTGCTTTGGATTGAAAACACTGACTACAACGTATGAAGATGTGCTAGTTAAAGCCCCCTTTTAAATATGTAATTGTTTGCTAATGGTTGCTTTTAATGGCCAGTTTTCCCGAAATACAATTAACCTTTCACTGCACATCCTTGAACCATGGGAAGAAAACCAAAGCATCCTGCGAAACCTCATATGAGCACCTGGAGAATGTATCAACCCTACGCAGCCTGCAGCCCAGGTCTGGAATTGAGCACCGGGCCCCAGCGCTGCAAGGCAGTAATGTAAACTGCTAGGTAGTCATTGACTTTTTGAACATATATTTTAAATATTTAACAGGACTAAAATACAATGCAGCCAGACAGATCACCTCTGTTGAAGAGCTATGGAAGGTCTTACTGTAAATATGCATTGACAGTGAACCCTTACAATTCTATGGTTTTACAGAAAAAGACATTGGACAAGGTAAGATATCAGTTTTAATATCTAGAACCTGAGACTTAAGTGGGTGGACATTTTCACATCACTGTATACTAAGCTTGCCAATCCTGGTCCCAGAGGACATAACACAACATGCTGGTTTTCCTTCCAGCAGTCACTACTTCTAAAAATCACCACCTTACTTAAATTAAGAAGTAGGCTGACTGGAGTATTTGCAAGCTGCGAAGTTTGTGATTTTATCTTGTGCATGAAATTATAAAAAAAAAAAGTTGAGAGAAAAGTTAGGGTTCAAATGAATCCTATTAAGTCAATTAAGGGTTATAAGAGAGCTGGGTTACAACAAAACCCACTAGGACCAGACCTGGGATTCCTTTACTGTAGGACATTTGATAAATAATATTAACTGATTATTCACGGCCTTGATAAGTCAACAAACCTGCAGATGCACATGGATGCGTAGTTGTAGCTTCTGCTATTGATCTTAAATTGACAGAAAAAAAGATGCCAACACTCCAAGAAAAATGTATACCACTTTCTATGCTTTATTTCCCACACCAGTGAGTTTCAATCTTTCCATTTACAATTTGACACATACCTTTCCTGAAACAGATTAGAAAATGTCTCCCTGGAATATACATCTGGGTACAAATTCTGCAACAGATTTTGTTATATGAATTTTAAAAGACCAGCTTCTCTCCAGAACCTCTAATATGGATCACTAATGATAATTAGAATCTAAGAAAGAGCAGCTCAGTCCTCTTCGGGGGCTTCTTTTCTTGTGGCTGGGGGCCCTCGGGCTAGTTTATGTTTATAACAATTTATTAGACTCATTATTTAGTGTTTTATTGTCCAAACGTCATGCTTCCTCAACAATCTTCCACCTTCGTGGTGTGCCTCACACTCCCCTTACAATTTTTGTTTTCAAATTGCCAGTGAATTAACAGCAGTGAGAGTAAATTGTCACAGCACAGCAGTTTTGTGTCAATTGGTAAATTAAGTAAGGTTAAACACAAAACACATTAAGTTACATGCAAGACCCCCTAAGCACTCTTCTCCTTACCCACAGCTGTACACCAGCCATGCCTTAACCCAGCTTTGACAGCTGCTATCGTTCTTCTCATTTCTGAGCTTTGGAAATTTGTTGAAACCAATGCGAATCACTCTCCTTACCCTCCACTGCTCATACCGAACAATGCAGACGTTGCGGGATCAAAAGATGACCATTTTGCAGTTACACATAAAAAGACCATTCCCTCCAAACGCTCAACTGTGTATCACATTAGCAGGAAATCTTGACATTATATGCAATTCTGTACAATAAAAAACCAGGACCAATTAAGGAATATTTGCATCCTCATCACAGAATTCTCCCCTTCAAATTATTTTGTTTCCGGGTATGTGAATGTCACATGCCTGTACTGTAATTTTCAGAACAAACAGAAAACACTGCTCTCATCCTTTGGTATTATCATCACAGCCAAAGCTATTGATAAGGCAGCAGGGCTTAATCTCTCATTCAAAGGTCACTTTAAAGTCATTTCAGTGATCAAACCTCTGTGAAAAGAAAATGGCCAAAACGTGATTCTTCTGTTTTAGCTGTATAAAACAGAAGTGTGCTGGTCAGTGTGAACAAAATCCTTTTGGTTTTATCTTAATTAATTCACCGTTGTTTCTCGTACAGAATTATGAGCATCGCTTTTAGCCTGCACTCTTTTTCTCTTCACTGTTATAGTTTCTCTTATCTAAGGAATTATTGACAATTTTTGCAAAACCCATGTTACCATATGGTCCGTTCGGTAAAACTCTGTCTTGTGCACTGTTTTTAGTTGGATCAGAATAATGAAAGTTACATGAATGTGACACTGAGAAGCAAGCACAGACGTTGTGACCCGTCACTCAGAATTAACAGGTCATTTCCTCATCTTTGATAAACCTTTGCCAAGTTGCCAAAAGGAGCTTTACTTTGATACTGGGGAGCTATAAGTGATATTTTATACCAGAAGAGTCCCAATCCTATTAGTCCTGTAGGCCCCCCCAAAAGCTCCGGTTTCTAAATATTAGGAACACTACTAATTACTGATCAATTCAGCAAGTAATTTAAGAAAGGGAACTCTGATTCTTGATGATCCATGGCAAAGAATCTGTAAACTAACGAGTCACTTGTTTAACTTAAGTTTAACTTAAGTTAAGAAACTCTCACTGACGGTTATTTATATACCCTTCTGGAATTGCTTTTTTGCAGGACCAGGACGCAACAGGAAATCGAGCTCTAATAAAACTGAAACGTCTGGTCTGTTCTGATCGGCAATATTGATGCTTCATAAAGTCTACAAGAAGTATGGGAATTAAATTAATATGCCGGTGTACCTAAAACAATGGCAAATAATTCAGATCAATAACTTATTTCACACACTGATTTCTTTTTTTCAGTAACTGAAACTTCTCAACCCCCTTTTTTAAATTAGGCTACTATACTGTGAACAAACAACACTTACAAAGGCAGGTAGGCAAAGCTAGTGACAGTTTGGTGATATTTTCTTTTTGAAATTGACAAAAAAAACAACTAACCAGTAGAGCAGAACCAGATTCCTGTGCCAATTCAAACACTAAAAGGATAGTGACCAGGCAGACGATACATGCATTACAGCAACAACGAGAAGAAAACAATACTTCTGAATCGGACCCATAACCACAGAATGGTGTAATGGTGCAATGATGCACACAATCCAGCTGGACTCCCTGGCTACACTTTCCAGGCCAAGGCTGCAACACTGATTAGAGAACTCATACAAAGTCCGTGAAATCATCCACCGTTGAGACTAGACGCTTCCTCTGCCCGCTGTCCGAGGCTGGGTGCACCCCCTGCTGGTAGGAACTCTTGGTCTGCACTGTCCCGTGGGCCTGCGTCAGCGAGATCCCCAGGCTGGGCCGGGACTGGATCTCCTCCTGGGCCTGGGGGAACACGGAGAACGCGGCTTAGAGCCCCATATGCCAGGGCGTCAGGTCAGGTTTGATACTGGGGGTCCGGCCTGTTCGAAGAGCTATACCGCTAACACAAAATATGGCACAGAGCAGCAGGACCATGAAGAACACACCCCACCGGAGAATGAGCTTCACCACAGAGGGCAGCACATCCACTTGGTGTCCGCAAGTCCAGTCCCTGTCTGCGATAGCTGTATGCAATTGCAAACCATGTCTTTGTATTCATGCAAACTGTTGAGCGCACATCTATGTTGAGTGTTGCATACGGTGGGTATTATTTGTAATGTGCATTACACTACTTTGTTGTAGTACACAATTTGCATAACAGACCCACTGAACGGACCTGTTTTAATCTCAACTTCTGCTTTAAAACATGTTGAATTTCAAACAATGTTACTTTTAAGAATGTTTAACACTTTGGCACAATTTCTGCCCACATTATAGTTTTGCAACAGCTTATTCATCACGTTTTAGAGGAATCTTTAATCCATCACCTTCCAAAGTCTTGGAAAGGACTGATAATGTGACCAATTTCGTAAACAACAAAAAAAACAGTGGATTGGCACAATCCTGGAAAACTGAATGCTGGGTGCCCTCGGGCTAGTTTATGATACTCATTGTAAGATTGCCATTAATCATATCACACTGCACATGATGGACTTCAAAAAGCTACAGTCTTTCAGACAACATAACCTTAGTGCAGACTGTCCATGCAGTGGAAGCTTTCCAATGAGACCAGCTTGGTATTCATTCACTACTGTCCGCTGATGAATCAAGGCTCTCATTCATTCGATTAGTTTGGGGGTAAAACAAATGCACCATATTTTCAGCAATAAACTTTGATTTTGCCCTTCTACACAAATAATCCAATAGACATCACGGCACAGAAAAAAAAGAGGTATTTGATTTCAAATGGGACCTCGTAACTCAGTCAGAACCCTGCATAGCCCTTAAAAGTCAAAAAGGGTTGACTAGAAACATACGATGAACACGCCAATGTTAAAGTGGGTGAGTTTCTTAAAGGAAGACTTACACCATTAACTTGAACTAGGAGGATAATCCCAGTACTTTCAGATTCTGGTTTTAATGGGAGTAAATCTGTCATCCACGGAGCACCATATACTTCTGCTTACATTAAGATCTTTTTAATGCTAAATTAACTCCTGATTTGGAGTAAACAATTCTCCTATCGTGCTTAACCAAAATAAGTCAACCCTAGGTCTAACTTTGGGGAAATAATAAGATAAACCTCATTTTTTGGAACTCTCTTACCCTGGTTCGAATCCTTTTAATGTGGCGCAGTCTTGCCAGCCACTTAGAGGCATAAGCGTCTGAAGGGTTCGATCTGTACTGGTGCACCAGGGATGCCATCTAGCACAGGAAAGAAAGAAAATCAGGAATGTCAGAAAGGTAACCGGAGAGGAGGAAAAAAACCTTCACAAAAAGGAGACATCTAGCCACACTCTTCTCCTCATCAAACAGTTAAAATCAGCTCCATACTGTAAAAAACATTGAAAGTTCCTATGATCAGCAAGCCAACATTTGCCTGATTGACCAGTAATTACAGTCACAGCTCAACAGGGATTTTTTTTTCCATTTAATTCCCATTTTTGACAACTTGTGATTGCAGATGTTATTTTGAAAAACGTGTTTTAAAAAAAAATGCAGAAGAAAAGAAATGCAAGTGAAACTAGGTCAGACTATGTGCAGTGTTTTTGACTGTAATTATGGAGACAGTATTACACAGTAACTGCAAAATGAGATTTTTCTTACTTTACAAAAATTGTATAGTAACTGTAGAGGACTACTGTGACAGGCAAGAGAAAATTAACAGTCCCACTGCCAGAATTGCCGGTTACTTACATTGGCATGGAGTGCCATTTGTCGTACAAGAAGCGGCAGATTTCTGTCTGACACAATTTTAGCTACGGTGGTATCAACCAGGCCTTCTAAATCTACAACAGAAGCAAAGATTTACACATATTTTAAAAAAGCAATGGCAGACTGTATGAACCAATCTCGTTAACAAAAATGCCCAGATCACATTGAGAAATGTAACCTAAAACTGTTAATTTAAAAGTGAAGTCTGCTGTGAACTTCTAGGAGCTTAATAGCACTTGTATATTCTTTCTTTACTGGACAGAGCTGCCTTCCCCATCAATGGACACTGTTTTCACTGTGCTCTGCTCTCACTTGTTTACTTGTCATTTGATTTATGTTTTACATGTGAACTATTGTATATTTAGTAAGATTCATAATAAACAGTGTATTATAAATGACTAATAGTATCATGTGTAATTACATTATTACTACTAATAATGAACTTTTCCCATTAGCAATGTATGATGTATTGAGCTTTTGCTTTAATGTCTAGCAAGCGTAGGATTACAGCACTAATTCTTCAGTCACTGGCAGAAAACTGATCTATTAAATCAACAAGTTGCAATATCTTTTGATACATCATTCCATTCCACATAATTCAGGCTGCATTAAAAGTAAGTAAGGTGTTCTGAGGTTGGAACTGCCCCTCATTATTCAAAGCCATACTAATTTCCAATTCATACTACTTTAAATTAAAGAAACATTAGTCATAGTACTAAGTCATTAAAAAGGAAATGAACAGGGTAACAGATACACAACAGAAAGCAGCTCTCTTAAGGAGCAAAAAACTAATTATTGATCGGATGTACTCCAGCCCGCTGTCCGTGCACAGATAGTGCTTGTTCCTGGGACATGTGGACAATGGGGGACACCCTGGACAAGAGCCAGTCCATTGCAGGCAGCACTCAGAAAAGTTCACAGGTAAAATTGATAAACTCCCATCATCCCAGGCAGATTGAAGTCGGAGGAAACTGGGTCACCAGGAAATAATGCACATAGGTACTCATTCTTCTACCTTGCTGAAAAGCGATTGATGTTTCAAAGCTTTTCCTCAGGTCTCCTACACCATCACAGTATAACCAACCTAATGAAATCTGTGTCAATAAACATTAACAATCATGTGCACCGTATTTCAATAAATGTTCCCTCGTGAAATAATTCACCTATGCAGCACATTCACATGTAATTATTCTCCATTATATAAAGAAATATCTTACCTTTGCGACACTGTAGTGTGACCAAATTACTCTCGTAATCCAGAGGCTTGATTATAACTTCCACAAAGTTAAACTGGCCCTGTTTGAAGACAGGAGGAAACAAGCAAGTTCTTGTTTGCAAGTGAAGAAAAAACTTTTAGACCAAACAGTCCTGTTCTTGATACATTGATGCCTGTGAAAGTTATATTTGTTCAAGCCTGAAACAATCAAGATGTGCATACAGGTATAACCTTGCAAGAGAGCTCCAAAGGAACTGCATGCCCACACAGGTAATGAGAAAAAGAACAAAAGCTTTTTAAGTAGTAAAGAAAGTCTATAATCAAAAGTACAATTATCCACATTACACATGTACCTTACTAAGCACTGAAAAACTATCACAAAATAGCAATGAGATATAGATTAGCAAATTATCTAAATATGATCTTATTCTTGTTTGGTAGACAAATCTGTCTTTGCAAGTAATCAACTACCCCAGAGTTTTTAAGATAAAGTGATAAAACCCTAAACCTTTTTAAGATAAATTCATTGAGGCCACAGCAAAGCAGACAAATTGCAAAGCACAAAAAAGCCCTGAAGATCTGTTATTCCTCCCAAGGAGACGTGTTTCCACAAAGGAGTCAAAGTGGAAAAAAGAATCGTACGAACAATGACACTATCAGTATGTATCTCGACGAAGTAATACAATAAAAAAAGGAGAGAGAACCTTATGATAAAGATTTTAATTTAGAAATGACCCAAAGGGGCACCTGTACCTTGTATAACTATCAGTTGCTGTAAAAATTGTTTGTAGTTTGAACAAAAGAAACAAAAGATCATGTGCTATTTCATATTCCTGTGATTTAAATTAATATTTGAATATTCAACGGCTCCTGTGGCAATGAACCCTGACAAGCACTGTTTCAAAGTGATCGCTTTTGAAAAAAACATTTTTAATCCAAGAAATACATTTTTTAATTTCTAAACAGAGGGGAACTTAATTATGCATACTTTCTGAGATCATTTCTGTGGGATGGAAACAAATCAGACTTCTCAAACATTGTAACATGTAAGTAAAACGGGGCCCCCTCCTAAACAGAAATAAACTTGTTTCCAAATCCATTTCAATGGAAAATAATTACTGGAGAAAGCCTAGCCCTCCTCATTACTGAACTATCACTCCCACTGAATACCTGCAGAAGTCAGTCTAAAAGTGCATGCAAAAAAACTAATTGGTTGACAAACTATTAAGAAATGTTGCTATTTGTTTACAGTTACATTGTGTACAGTTACAGTAAATTTGTTAGTTAACCTGTTAACACATAAAGCATTTGCATTTTTAGGCGAAAGCGACAATCTAAGAATATACATGAAAAAACGAAGGTTTGTGAATGTGTAGTAAAATCCTTGCTAGAGGGTCAGCTGACTTTCACGTTTATCCCAGTTTGTACCATGTCAAATGGACAGAGCCTCCTGGACAGGACGGTGATCCATTGAAAGTTTATCCCCATCAATGCTGGTGTCTCTTATACAGCTGGGTGGACTGGTGCCACTGGGGTAAAGCACATCAGTTCAGTGTGCCTGAACTTTCCAGTCATGAGTCCAGATCCATAACCCACTATTCAATGTTGCCCCCATAATCTTGCCACAGGGTATTTCGACTTCGGAAGGAACTAACCTTGATGGTGCCCAGCTTGTACTCCTCCCGGGAGTCGTTGTACACCACAATTACAAAGTCGTTTCCGATGTGCCTCTTCTTGTTGCAGTAACCTTTATCCGATTCGCGGTTAGGCATCAGAGTGGCAATGTGAAAAATGGCTAAGAAAGAAAAGAACCCACAATATGGTTAGAGTTTTCCCCCCTACTGTACATTTCAACTCAGATTTGGCAGAATGCAGTTTTTAAATGGGCGGGGGCCCATTTTAAGTAGAGAATAAACCTTGTTTGGTCTTGCCCGTAGTTTTATGGACTACAGCTATACTATATTGTTAATAATCTTATGTTGCAAATGTTCTTTAAATCTACATGCAAGTACTCTAAGCCTTCTCATGAAACTGGCTAGAAATACAACTTGTTCAAATGACTTTCACTTGTTTGTAAAAGTATATCTAAAAAATCTGCAACTGCTCAGAGCTGTGATGCGAACTATTGACTTTCCAGCATTAAACAAGCGACAGTAACAGCCCCGAAGTCAATACTCCACTGCAGCAATGCAAATAAAAAAATCATTCATTCACAGTGGAGAATTTTCCATTTATCTTGCCCATAAAGGCAGTCGCTTAAAAGCTACTCTCTTGCTTTTCACTGGAAAAGATGGAAGCAGGCAATTGTTTTATTAGAAGACGTTTATTTCTTTATTTAATCACTAAGAACAACCTGCCAAGAAGAGAAAGAAGCTGTCCCTTGTGCAGAGGGACAGATTACTTTCTTTTACAGCCGGAGAGCAGAATGCAAGCGTGCAAGATCTTACTTCGGAATATTTATGTTATCCATGCGGTACAGGCATTTTCTGCCCACTTTACAGAAAACATCAAGACTAAGCTATAATCGCCGAATCGCCTCCTTGAAAGGACGGATTTTCCTAGTCATTGAGCAACAAAATCCGATAAATAACTGCTGCACCGCAAAGGCTATGGAAAACAAACTGCTCGTTTCTGCAATTTTGGTCACGTAGTTTTACCCTCCCCCAGCTACAGTATAATGAAACCCTGAATGATAAATTGTGCCACCTTTATCTTGTGCCCATTCCAGTCCGTCCTGGCAGATTTATACGCCAGTGCTTTTAAGTCCCACTCGCTCCCCAATGCAGACAGCGAATACAAAACATCCCAGCTTGCAGACCGCATGGGCATCGAGATGTTTTATTCTTAATTTCAAACTCACCTCCCCACTGAAACCTCCTGTATAAGCGAACACAGGAAGCTGAAAGCAGAGGAACATCCTCACTGCACGCCTCTAACCAAAGAATCACTGAATCACTGAGAGCTACAGAGCTGTGCAGCTTTGGGCTCAACAGAGGCCACTTCGGCCAAGTTCTCCCCTGGACTCAAGCTCAGCACTTCCAATCCAGGGATGAGGACCCCAACCAACCTATAGCATCGGCCTGACCGGCCTTTTTAAAAACCGCGCTGCGTTCGGAATCGGGCTGGAAAAAAAGGCAGTCTAAAACAAAACAAATGCACTCAATTCCTGTGCAGAAGGGGCATGTTCTCTCAAATGTGCCCATGATGGCTAAAGGCAAAAGAGACAGTCACAAGGGAACAGATTTTCAATATAAACTATGGGGGGAAATCATTTTGTGGATGCTAATACGTAAACTAGCACAGACAGCATGGCTTGTTATAGAGATTGCAGCCCTACTGAAACTGAAGAGGTCTCACCAATCATAGTAGGTCACCAGAGCTCCATGCCAGCTAAAGAAAACAAGGTGTGTGTGACCTGTCAAGCCTTAATCAGGAAGAGGAATTCAGTTCTCTGCGCCTCACCCTGCATAATGTCATCATGCCAGCAGTAGGTAAACTCCCCATCATCACCGTACTGGTCCAGCCCACCCAGGAAGATCTGGTCGGGGTCACAGTCCTTCAGATAGATCAGTTTGCCCAGGCCCGTGAGGAAGTGGGCGTACCTGTTGGATCCATATTCATTCGAGAGGATGGAAACTTCATTATTCGCCTGTGAAAGACCGAGAGAGAGAATGTGGGCCTGAGATCGAAGCAGGTAGACTATAGCATACTTCAGAACACGAATTGCAGTGCAGTAAGTAAATGTTACATAAAGAGAACAATAAAAGGAAACTGTTACTTCAAATGTAAATGTAATGCAAATTGTTTTTAGCAGCTTTGATCCATCAAAAAGATGGGAAAAGCCCTTTAGAATAAAGTCTCACATTACCAGTTCGTTTCCCTTCACTGGGCTGATGCCCTCTGATCTAAGCAAATGCATTCATTACAAGTCTTTGCCGTATGAACACTTATAATGCAAGGAGAAGTGCACATAATAATATATAAAAATAAAACTACTGCTGCTTTATCTGCTGGATAAGCATTCAACTGAATCATCTATCCATCCATTGATAGTTGAAAGACCTGGCTTTTCCTCCCGGTTTCAATTTCATGGATCTAACTGAGAGAATCATGGCCAATCACCTGTGAGAAATATGCGGTCATCTATTTAGCCACTGATAACAAAAGTCTTTTTCCAGGCACAGCGCTGCAAGCAGTACCACTGACGAAACATCTTTAGAATGAATAGAAGTACGCAGCTTCCACCTCTGAAGTTTTTCCATGCAAATGAGAAACACGAACTGCAATAAAACTGATCATCTCGCCTTCATCCCTCCATCCATTTTCTGATTTATCTACAGGGTCATGGGGGAGCCAGAGCATATCCCAGCAAGCAACGGGCACAGGGCAGGATACACCCTGGGTGGGACACCAGTCCATCTCAGGACACACACTCACACCAGAGCACATGTTCCTAGAAGTCAATTCATCTAGCAGCTTGTCTTTGGACTGCGGAGGGAAACCAGAGCACCCGGAGCAAACTCACATGAACATGTGGAGAACATACAAACTCCACACAGGCAGCAGGCCCAGTATTGAACCCAGGGCCCCAGCGCTGCGAGCCCGCAGATTTAACCACTGTCCGCCCATTTCATTCTCAAATTAAACGTAAAGAAAAACACACAAGGCCAGATTTAAGACACGCCAGAAGAAATCCATTCGCAAAAACTGTAGGTACTGTACATCTATAAGGAGAACAACTCGTAAGAAAACCAAACCAGGTCTGGTTGGAATCCCACTGTCACGTGGTCTCAATAAGCTCTCAACGAAAAATGACTGAACACAAGATTCTGGGGTTCAAAGACAGACATTCTGTGGAATCTTTTATGGGAACCAAAAAATGCCATCAGCTGTGGTAAGGCTGTGAAATCTTTCCCAGGAGAAAGATGCAGTGCAGCAAACACACTCACCTGTCCTGCGCCTACAAACACCACTCCAATTTTGTGGGTGTCATACGGTGGCATTTGATCCAGAACTTTGACAGCTCGGTCTATGAGCTGAGGACAAAAGAGAACATTTTACTCGACAAGCAAGTACCAGAGCACATCAGGGTGAATATTCCATTCATGCACATGAGAAATAACAGTGGCACATGCTTGCTAAATCATTAAGCTACCCTGCTAATTCTAGCCCAGGGAATGAGACAGCAGTGAAAGACCCTTCAACCACTTGTCAGACTGAGTTGTACTGAGTTTGGATTTCCATTCAAAGTGATACAGCCTCACCTGCGACTTAGGGAGAAGCAATGGCTTGTTGGACTCATTTCCAAAAAAGGGTGAATGGTACAGCTGAAGGAACACGAAGCTGGAAGAGGAAACAGAAATACATTCAATGATTAAATCAGATCATCTTTATCACTGAGCGGTCAACTCCAAGACAGTGTTTATTTTTGTAAATAAAGCCAAAATCTTAGCTTTATGGCCTGAGACTTTGACCAAGTGAAAAACTCAATCTCATAGGAATATTAAAATGCCATTTAAAAATAAACGCATTACCCTTCACTGTACATTACAGCACCACAAGAATAGCTACTGCACTATCTGTTCTTTTGCTGAATTACCAAGGACCCAACACCCACTGATTTTCACCTGATTATGTAAGTAAAAGGTTTTTTTCTGCTGATTTTGTGCAATTACATCTGATAAAAGCATTACAGCTGAACTAAAATTGGACAACACTTGCATACGGACACAGGCACATGAAGATGGCTATTTAGCAGAAAAGAAGATCAGTAAAATGAGTAATTCCCAGCCCACAGTAATAGTTAAGACAACAGGTGCTTAAGGGTAGCTACTGTAGTAGAACAGCACTACTTTACATGTTAAGGCCTACCTAAATCTTACACTATGCTTGCCTTTAACACCTACAAGTACTTGCATTTTACATTTAATCCCTGCAACTTGGAAGTTAAAAAAAAAGCAATATACCAAGCATAAAGCAAAAAAACATTTATCCCTGAAAAAGAACAATTATTAAATAATGATTAACTAAATTAATTTCCATAAGGGATTCTCTGCCATTTTTCACAGTGTCAGGTGAAAGAGTGAAACACTTCATGATAATGGGCTATTTCAACTTTGATCCCGTCAAACTACGTACAGGACACGAGGCTGTAAATATTATAAACAAAGAAGATTTGATTTACACAGGGGACCTCTGGGACCCCACTAAAGGAAGCAATGGATAAGCTAATGAATAAGAAGTGTTCTGAAAACCAGAAAAACCTCATTTAGAGAACCCTTTTTTGTTTTGAATTTGAATGATACAGAGGTCGGACCATCGGGGCCCCTTAAACAACTCCCCGATATTTCGCCTCCTCCGCCTCCCGTGAGACATCTCCGCGACGGGACCGGCCTTACCTCGGACTCAGGCCCGCGGACTTCTCGGCGCTGGAGGCGGCCCCCCTGCCGCGGTAGGAGTCGCGCTCCATCTTCCTCTCGCGGCGCGAGGGGGCCGACACGGAGATGGTGTGGCCGCGGGGCCGGTGGCCGCCGGGAGAGAGGGGAGAGAGGGGAGCCAGCTGGGGCGCCGGGAACTCCAGCTTCATCCTCGAGGCTGCGGCCGCCGACGCTCCTCCTCCTCCTCCTCCTCCCGGTGCTGCTGCTGCTGCTGCTCGGCCTCCTTCCACGGGCCCGGCGTCCTCCTCGGCGAGGGGCTCTTCCTCCAGCTCCCGCCTGGCCTCGGCCGCGGGCTTCCCCCTGCCGCCATCCTCGCGGCGGGGCGCCTCTCCGAAGGCTTCCTGCAGGGCCTGCAGCTCGGGGGAGGAGCTGGACTTGTTGAGGGTCTGCGGGTGCTGGAAGGGCAGCTCCTCTTCCAGGCTGGGAGTGGACAGGCTCCCCCTCTCGATGGGCACGGCGCAGACGCCGACGTCCTCCAGCGGGGTGGACCGCTCCTCGTCCTGGCTGGAGCTCGAGGAGGACTAGACAGAAACGACGCCACGGTTCCGGGTCAGAGAGTTCTCTAGGCTCAGGTGCTTCACCGAGGTCTGGAACCATTTACCCCAGATGCTGGAGGGAACGCCGATCGCAGGTTCCCCATTAAACGTGTTCGGGTTTTTCTTTGCCTGAGTTTTGAGGTACGTCCCCACGCAACTCATTACAGGGATTCTTATAATTAACAACTAGTGGTTCTCATGTCGTCCCCGGGCAGAGGGAGCAGGTCCTATTGAAACTTAGAAAACTCCACTTAAACATCAAGAACTTAGACCAAACCTACAGAATGAGTCAGGCAGGCTCACGTTCTACCATAACGTATCGCAGCAAAGCACTCTAACATCCTGCTGAAATTTTTAAGAAGTTCCGTAGCTTTTTTTAGACGTAGCTATGCAGGATATAATGGGTAGGCCCTGCAATATCCTCAAGCCTTCAATCGCGCAAACTGCTGAAAACCTTTTCTTTGACCACTGGAGGTTTTACCTCACTTACCCTGCTGTAAGCTCCCTGGACTTTGATTTTCTCTCCGCTCATGAAAATAGGCTCTGGGGGCATGGCCTCGAACTCCTCACTCTCGGGGGACTCTGCTGGTGAGTCGCCGCCTTTCTCTCTGGCCCCCTCCTCCAGCACCACCACCGATTCTACCAGGAGAGAGAGACACCACACACGCCCTAAGGAGACCCGCGGCTGCCGACACCCAGCCCTGGCAGGCCCCACCTATCAGCTCTTAAACCCGAGAGACCTTGCCGTTCGGCATTCGGAAAAATACTGGGCCTGGAACGAGCCTGGGGGGAGGAGTAACCCTGTGTCCCAGCCAAGGGGATGCGCTGTGATGTCATGCGACCTGACTCGCGCACTGAGAGAAGAACTCGGACTCTTTTAGTCCCCTATCGCACACGACGAATGTGTGACTTTCACGTGTGTCGTTTTCTTTGTAATGCGGGCATGACTTTCCCTCATGACTCGCGCAATCGACGTTTTCATGATACAATACAGTGAAACAGCGTCCGAAAGAGGTTAACAAATATGCAAAAGAACCTGACGCCCAATGCACACCACAGCTCCAGAAACTTAAAATCTACTAGTATGACTATCTGTCTTTATTCTATTTAGGCCTAATATTCGTACAAGAACACTACTGGCTTTCCTTCAGACTGTTTTGCATTATAACTTCCTCCCTCATTTTGTTTCAATAAAGGACGACGTATACTGGAGCAGTGTACTTTAGAAATTTCCCAGTCTGTCCCAGAAGGTTTATTTTTATCATGTTTAAGAATATAACCGTCACTGTCCAAAACACAGGTTCCACTTCACTATCTACAACCTTCTCAAAAGGCGAAGGAGTTTCATTCTCACTTTCCTTCTTTGTCCTTTGGTCCTAACAGTTTTGCTGTAAAGAAAAAACGGTGCCAGGGTCTTTCGCTCTGGAGGTCCGAGATCAAGCGGAGCAATTTTCTCCAGCCAGGCTCCATGGATTACTTTATCTGTGACTGGATAAACAAACTCCCTTTCCAATGCAGCCCATGACTGCATAAACTGTGTCAGATTTCCTATTATCACACAAAGAACACTATCCTTGTCGGAAATCAATTCAGCAAATACAAGTCCATACACTGGCATCAGCATTTCAAACATCTGCAACTTAGTGGTAATTTACAAATGACTAAATGAAAGTAACAAAGTCCATTTTTGCTCTGAGCTACTGAAGTAACATAAACATTCTGCGGACATGATTTTATAATTTGTGGTCTGTGTGCACATAGTGATTAATAGCTGCTACTTTTATAACCATATCCTGCTCTGAAATGAAATTTAATTCAGTTGTGGTTTAACTAGAACCTCTTATTATAAATTGTGAATAAACATGTTTCAGAAAATTGGACATGAAATAAACAATGAAATAAACTTTGTATTAAGGAAAAAAACCCACGCTAATTCTTGCTTAAGTATAACCACAAAGTAGAATTTGTTGATTTCCCCAAAGACAGCCCCATCCAAGTGTTTTTTGAATATGATGATGGATGAACTTTTTTCATATACGTTCAGACAATTCTGCATAAAACATTCAAGGCAAGCCACATTCTTGTGTCCTCATTTCCCATCGCATGTTCTTCTACTGTTCCATCCCTATAGGTTTCCCTCACCTTAGTTTTTGTGAAAAGGGAGCATTGAGTTTGTTGAACAAAATCAGTGGAACCTGGTTATACCACACAGTCCTGGCTGATTCACTTCACAAAGACAAGCAGGCCTGACCACACAGCAATCAGCAGAATCACTAAAGCCACGCTGCGAGGCTGATTAAACAAGGCGCAGCAGTTATCTGCAGTTCTTTTCCAAAACGTGCTCATCACAAAAAAATGGTCCGAGTCAAACCCTTAACCTTTGCAAACATGCCGTGATTTAAATTTCTGAATTGCCAATCCAGAGGGGAAAAAGAGGGAAGGATATGAGATTTACTGCAGAAGTGAATTTTCCTTATTGTGACTCTTCCAAGAAGAATGTCTCATTCAATACTTTTTTTGCCCCATTTTGGACAAGTGGAAGGCTGGATGATGGCTAGACAGGTGTCAAGATCCAGGGTCTTGGAGACCCACACAACCGCTGGCTTCTGTGACACCCGAGCACTCAAATCACTGAACCCATAACAGATCTATTACAAGGCTTAATTTGAACTTAGTTCCCAGACATGCAAAAGGGTGCCTTTTAACTATTACTTTTCTTACTCTCCAATCTTTGAGTAGAAAAAAGATTGAAAGATTCTAGTAAAAAAAAAACTTGTTGGTTCAAGTTCAGCTCGGCTGAATTGAAAACCATTAGCAATAGATGTCCCCCAAGACCAGAAGTGGGATATTCTGGTCTAGATCACACAATTTCCTCATATTATTAATACTATTATCACTTTTCTAAACAAAATAACAAATACAGAAACCTCACACGACGATTGCTTTCCAAGGGCAATCTGGACTATCCACTTGAACCCAAAATGCAGCAATTTGTTTTAAGTTGCTCTGGTTTAATAACAGCATGTCAGCAAGGATCTAGGTTTTGACACGGTCTGTTCGCATGCTGTGGAAGTCCTCATACAGAAGAGTTAATGATGAGATTGGAGGGGGTCTGGTGTGGTCAGAGAGGGAAAGGGGGACAAAAGAGGTTATGAGGAAATGAAGGGGTCATGAATCATCAGCATTTATTGGTCTTTTGTTGGTCTCTCTCTAGGCCAGTCAGCACTGGACTTCTTGTTAAACGTATATTGAAATGTGTATATACCTGCCCAGGATATACTCCTGTGCAACTTCACTTGGGAGCCGGGTAGGTAGAGAGAAGAGAAAGACGCCACTGTAAAAGGGAAACCAAGCCGAATAAAAAAGGCAGAAAGAGAACACACTTTGAAAATAAAGTAAAAAAGTATGTACGGGGGAAAAAAAAAAATCTACAACAACACGGGTGAGGAACTGCAAAGAAGCTGAATTATGAACAGAGGAAATGGTCTGAAGAAACAAGACAAAGGCACCAACAACACAAAGGCCTAGACCAAATCAAAACCCAAACCCACCTGGCCGTCACAAATTGTGAACCCAGTACTTACTCGGTAACACCAGTAACAGCCAGAGGATATCTCCCACCGAGGTTTGCAAACGCCTATTGAGGGTGGGTCGAAGTTTTGACTTGGCACAAGTCCCCATCTACAGTGGAATGCAGATTTCCTCTTTAACTAAAGAGGCATGTTGGTGACCAAACATGGGGGTTGTGGAATCAAGTCGCGGGCAGGACACTGCTGTCGTACCCCCGTGCGATGAGCTTCACTCAGACTGCCCCGGTACATGCTGGCTGCATGAACAGGCACTCACCAGGCTGTCCTTGAAGGGCTGAAAGACTACGAGGGGACCTGATACAAGTACCCTAAATTTTGTTAAAGCCATTACCAAAGTCAACTCGGAGAACCCCTTCAAAACAGACACAGAGACACAAGCCAGGGGGAACCAGCAGAAACTCTGTGGTAGAGCATTTAAAAGAGAGATAGGGGTTAGTTCTTTACCCCCAAAGGGTTGTGGGATTGTGCAAGAAGCTACCCAGTCATATTGGTCAAGTTGACCCTTGGGTTTCATTCAAGAAACAGCTGATTGATCCCAGGGTCTCATCCAGCTAGAGGTGGTCCTTTCATTTGTAACTGCTCTTGAAGAAAAGCATTTTATATGCGGTTAACTAACACTGTGTTTCACGTAATCTTGCTGCAGTTATGTTAATGGACCACAAAACTACGCTCCTGCCACACAGTCCTAAATATTAGCATTAATTAGGCTTCTTGAAAAAGGCATGCCTTTTAACGGGTATTTCATAAAGAAAATGCTTTCACAATGGAAATGGTTATCCATGGTACATAACATATACATTAACATAAATAACATTAACATAGATTGCTTTGCAATGATATTAATTGAAAACAATAGTTAAACATGGACCCCTGCATTTTAGTAATATTAAATTTATAATTCTGTGGATGAAACAAATTAAAACATCACCTGAACTGCGTAACCAAAAACACTTTTTACTGTGAGAGACTACAGACTAAGCTTCAAAGTGCTCTGTAAATGATCGTCAGAAAAAAGAAAATGTTTCCTATTTTTCCCCAATGCAATCTGCTTCTAAGACATTAAAGATCCATGAACCGTTGGTCTTTCTCATACCACTAACCAACATAAATGCTGGAGAGCAATATCCAAGTGGAATTAAGATTAGCTAAATGTGTCTAAATGCCAAATATAGTCATCTTAATTACCATCATACGCTAAAATGCATTAGCAAAAATATGGTAAATAAATAGTGGTTTTGTGGTAAAGTAATTCTCTCACTTGCAGTCTCCTGTACACAGAATTTCCTTCACAGAATTACAGATTTCACTTGCCTAGGCAAGACCGCATGAAGAAATTAGCACTGGGCACAAATCAGAAAAGAACGGAAAAACAATGCAAGCATAAATGAAGGATCGGATATTCACTTAGCAGCCTTCTCACATCAAGACAGAATATTGACATTCAGTAATGACTCATCGCTAACAACTAAAAACGACCAGTTCCACTTAAATGTCATTTTCAACGCCTAACCTGACAGAAAAGCGCCACTGGTTCATAGCTCATAAATGGATGACCCTTTACAGAAAAATACTTTTTGTTAAGAAAAGTCTTATCCTCTTAATATTAAATTCAGCACTTTATATTTAGCGTTGCAATTAGTAATAAAACATCTCTATAATTTGATGCATTCATTCAGTGTTAAGACTCTCCCTCACAATCGTATATCACTTGTATCTTTCCCCCATAAAACGGAGATGTAATTTAATCTGACATGGTGTTTGGGCAAATCTGGACCACTGGGTGCTGCTTCTGTTTAGATTGCAGACACCTTCAAGAGATTACAGGAGGCAATGAATCACTGCAAAAATAAAGCAACAAAATGAATGAAAAGATGAGGTAGAACACTTTTTTTTAAAAAAAAAAACAAAGAACCGCAAAAGAAATTCTGGCCGAGAGCATTCTTACAGATGGATGTTCGAACCCTGATACTAAGCGCATGAGACTCTCGGAATTTTTTGGTGGCAAAAAGAATGACAACAACATTGCTGGTCATAAAGAAAGGAGATAAGCAGAGGAAGCTGCACAGAAACAGGCATCTGCTGAGGAAGCTGCACGAGAATATAAATCAAAACCTAGAGAAACAGTCAAATGTCATCCATGATCGCCATCTGATAATCTGGAATGGGAACTGAAGCAGTATACTGCTCCACTGACATCCTGTGAGCTGTCTGGCACATTAAAAGATGCAGGGTTCTCCCCAGAACTTTCTAGCAGGCTATCAGCTGGGATTCTCTTGGCTGTGTATGTTTCTGTGGTACAACTGAACACGGGCCCCTCAGATATTCATTTACTTTTCACTGTACGTTCAGGATATTAGACTGCAACTCTGGAAACCCATTATAATGGTACTCCAGAGCCAGAGAGGGCGGTACGGCTTCACTGCCCCATCACCTGAGGGAGAACTCTCGCCGTAGCGCTGGGGCAGAGTGAGACAGCCTTACCGGTGTTCGAGCGCTGGATTAAGGAGGGTTTCTTTGCGCCGTGCGTGTGGCTCCCTTCCGGCCCAGTGGGCGATTTAGGCACGTCGGGAGCCCTGGGTTCCTTGATCCTCTCCAGAGCCATGAGGACATTGGACAGCTCTTGCAAGGGCATGTTGCCCACCTCCGAGGAGAAAGGGCTGGGGGGGTTTTCCAGGCACATCAACCAGCTGGTATTGCCTGAACCGAAAAGTAATGGCATTCATCATCACGGTTAAAGTTAGAGAACTGATCAAAGACAGCAGGCAAATGGTCATCGACCTTCACCAGATGGGGAATGACTAGAAAAGAATCCACAAAAAGCTGAAAAGAATAAAGACATTTGAAAATGGCTTCAATTCTCTGCTAGGCAGTATGAAACAAAAGATAAACAACAGAAAAGGCACAGACTGCAGGTAACTTCATTTTTTAATTGTAGTGCCAGCTTACCTTTTGTATAAAAACTATTTTATACTATTGCACTGTATTGTATACTTTCATACAGTTGTACTACTGAAGCATTTTTACTTAGGATTTCTACTGCTTCTTTTAGCATAGTATACCCCAAAGTATACCATGGTATACAGCGCATACCAACACTGGATAAAACACCCCAAAGCCCCCCGCTGCTGACCCTTGTGGCTCTAACCTGAAGGCCTGCGAATGAAGATCTCGGCCCAGCCCTGGGTCAGCATGGGCGCAAACTCAGCCAGACCGGACTTGTCCATCTGGGAAGGCGGGGGGGCTGGCACGGATTCGGACCTCCCGCAGCCCGCCGAGTTATCCAAGCCCTGAGCCGCGGGGGAGCCCGGACCGCAGAACTCGCTCTCCGAGGGAGAGACGAGCGGGCTCAGGCTCTGAGCGGTGCCGGCACGGAGGGCGTGGCCACCTAAACCAAACCGAACAGCGAGAGGCTGAAGGAGCAGTGAAGAGGGGAAAAATAACTTTTCAACACGGAATTAAGCTTTACTTGTTCCTAAATATCTGCAGGTTTCCTTCCTCCTGGCAGCTCAAGCTAATTAAGCAGGTTTTCCTTATTGGCCTGGAGAAGAGAGTCCTGTTTTGAAGTCTCATACTTCCAAGATCAGACGACAGTGTAAGTGGGTGAAAGATGGCAGGTGCCAAATTAACAGGCTTGGCAGAAAACAGCAGATCAAGGGAGGAGAGACTTGTCTGAACACAGTTCTGCTACAACAGGCCTCAGTGAGCTGCTACAGTGGGAGTCCGCGCACACAGGAGATGGGAAGGCGCCTGCTTCTTCAAACACAGCAGCAGACCTATGTCACAGGGTAAGGGGTGGACTTTTCTGATTCCAGGAAGTGTAAGTTGATGTGGCTCAAAAGATATCTAAAAAATCATTCTATCTTTCCAGAAAAGTCAGCCCTGACACTTCCATTACAAGTCTTTGCTCCAGCTAATCCGGAATTATCAAAGTGATATTCGGGATCTCAATATCAATTCAGTAATTAAGCTGGCAATTATAAGACGTAAAGGCACCGAAAAGACACGCCAAACCTGTCTGCCCATAGCTTACAGCCAAAGTTATAGTTGGGAAAACACAGCTCCTGCTTTAATGCTTTAAAGATCTAAGAACTGGAGATAAAATCTCTTTAAAAAGCTCTGTCTGCAGAAAAAACCTGCCATAATTTAGTATCTGGCAAAGGGCACTGAGGTCTGGAGAAGGCGTGCAGGGTGACCGTCTCACCTGACATGGAGCGCACTCGGATTCTCGTGGCTCGGCCAACCTGCTGGCCTGACTGCGACTCCAGTTTTGCTGGTGCTTCTTTGGTAAATCTCGTGTGAAGAGATGGATCTGATCTGAAACAAAAATGAAAATCAGACGGCATTTACGGCCACAAGTGACACTGCATCAATCAAAGTGGCCTGTAATCAATCAAAAAGGCACTTCCTGGGCCGTCCTGAACTGAAGCACCACTGAGAATCCTATTAATACTGGTTATTACAGCACTGAATATAATGTGAGAATGTTTTAAGGAAAAGTAGAGAAAACAGTACTGTACCTGCTTAGAATCATGAATCATGTTTTTGTACATTTTATTCCCAACACCGGAATGAAAATACATAATACAAATACATATGCGAAATTGATATTAGTATAAAACTCAAAATAGTGTTCATGGTTTTTAATTTACTTGTGAAGTTGTCCTAAAATATATATATATTTTACACTCAATAGATTTCCAAGCTAGAAAAGCAAATCTCAGCTTGCGGTAAGCGGTCCCTAAGGAGTCCAGACTGGAAATCAAGGCCTGCTCATCTCAACCTGGTCAGTTCCCCTCCACTCTGCCTCTCCGACAGATCCAGGCCTAGCAGAGACTGGGTCCTCACTCCTCCGCTGGTCGTTATGGTAACCAGCTTGTTTCCAACCAGCCAGGTCATGCTTCTGCCTCCAGCCAGCAGGAACTCGGCCACTGGGGACCTGTGCACAATTAACAGTGGTCAGCAGATACAGAAGTCATAAAGTGGGTGAAGGGGAGCAGTCCATTCCGAGTGTACACAGGCCAATATACAGTATTAGCGTGATATGAGCCCCTCCGAAATGCTAAAATTGGCCCAGAGGCAATTTGCACTCGGTCTCGGTTCGTTTGACGACATGTGGAAGAACTATTTCGTTCCACAGTGAGAAACATCGGATCCTCCTCTACCATGAGATTCCCCCCCCCCAGTCAGAGAGCATCACAATGTCCAAGATTTGGTTCTTGTAATGACTCTTTCGTGCTACGGAGGCTAAGACAGGGGCGATTAAGACTAGCCCAGCTGAAATGGTCTCAAGCTGTCGGTCATGGTTCTTGTTGTATGGTTATGAGCAGTAACACATACTAAAAAGGTGATATTCTTTACTAGCGGTTCAGAAACACAATTCAGCGTCCGCCCCTTGATGGGAGTTCACCCCGGCCGCTCCCCGTGGGCCCTGTGGGACTCACCTCTTGGGGAGGGCAGAGAAGTTGGAGAAGACGTAGCGGGCCATCATGTCCAGGCAGGTCTCGGTGAGCTCCAGGTGGACGGTCTTCAGGCTGTCGTCGGCCTGCGCCATGGAGCTCTCGTCCGCCGAGCCCAGGCTGGTGGTGGTGACCGAGGTCTGCATCCTGTTCGAAGAAGGTCACGGAGGGAGGGGGGGTCACCTTCCAGCACCCCACGGGCTCCCCCACATACCACACCGGGTGCAGCAGACAAGCTGTGACTTGGTACCAGCCAGCGTGTACAAATAAAGCCTGTCCGTAGCCTCTTTTCACTTCTGATGTAGTTTACAAAGCAAACACGCAGAGGGTCATGCACACCAGGGAGAAAGGAGAAGGATAAAGTGAATTTTGCATAGGTCTGCCAAACCAGCCCTTACGGTTCCCTTTTCCCATGTTTGTGTATTTACTTTCTAAAACAACCATCACAAATGGCACTTGCATTAATGGCAATTATGGCATAAGAGGACAACATTTTAAACACATGCAAGGATGTCTTTTGTCCACTTAGGTCATATTTTACTGTTCTAGGTTTCCAAAAACAAAACTGTAAATTGATAACTTAAAATAAATACACAAAGCTCTTGGTGTGCTTGGTATCCCAGAACAAAGCCAGCAAGACACATTTATCAGGGAATGTGGAATTTGCAGTGAAGCATCACGGGTTTTTGTTTTTTCATATTACAACATACAAAGCAGGGCTTTTAAGCAGAAAATCACGTTGAACTTTTTTAATATTAAAAGTTCATTGCATGGCAAAGCCAATGGAAACGTTTTCCCCGTGACCTCCAATTAAGCAAAGCATTTAACTCTATAAAAACAAAACACACTGCAACGACTGATAAACAGTTCTTAGAGCAGTTACTGTACCGCCACAGGACCTTACTACAGAATAAATCAAAGAGCTAACAAATTTATTTGGGATCTAGGGTAAACTACATCAAGATGAAAAGAGGTTCTTTGAAGTCAACTTTGTTTTGAAGCAATTGCTTTATGTGGTTAGAAGACCATCTATAGGTTCTTGGAATCTGAAATGAAATTGGTCTGATTTCATAATCGAATAAGATAGAATCTTATTACACAAATATCTGCGCCTTTGTGATTGTAACCATGTTCAAATCAGACTTTATAGGAGAAGCTCGGAACTCTTTCATTTAATTTCTTACTATAGTAAATACTTTCAAAAGCTGTGCTATACTTTCTTCTGGAGCGGCTTCTTCTCAAACAGTCATTTGCCATGCTAATGATTGTGGCCATGTCAGCTAGATTAGCCGTTGCATATACAGTACCTACCTCACTGTTCTGTAAAAGTACAGAACGTTTCACTAATGGGCTTCAGAATTTTTGAGTTAACCAGTTATCACCGACAAGACATGCCAATCAGCTCCGAGTGGATTTCTCATGACCTGTTTTGACTGGAAAGGTTAACAGGAGTGAGATTCTGGTTTTAAACCAATATGGAACTCAAAAAACAAGTTCCAAAACGGTAAGATTTATTTTTAAAAAAGTAAAACGGGATTACACAAGATTTAAATTAAGTTTAAACAAGTAACAAAGAATTTCCCTGACCTCTTTAATAGTCTCTTTTATGGGAAACCTTTTTTCAGCTATACAATACCAATACGTGTAAGAAAGTTGCAAGGTTATGGTCTGTTCCCACAAAGCCAATCGAACTCATTTGTTTTTGTGAACCTGGTGGAGAGTGCAATGTGTGATCACAATCTGGTAACACACCTTATTTCTCTGCCAGAATCATTAGTTAGCACGGCAAATCACAGTCCAAGGAAAAATAATGACTTGAACTCCGATAAGAGGACAAGCGAAAGAGAAAATATTAAAATACCTTTTTATCTAACAAATCAGCCATGAAAAAGTTTCTTCTTCCATACAGCTTCTCCTATACAGACAGCATTATCGACTTTGAGACTCACGTTTTGCAATAACATCTACAATCTCAGTCTTTCAAAAAAATACAGAAAAAATACCAAGTCACATCTTGTACCTGACCTCATCAATAAGCACCATTTCAAGCAAGCAGAGAGAAATGTAGGACTGGTGAGACTCATGTCACTCTGGTGAACCCTGGCATATAAACTCGAATAGCCCCCCCATCCCCACATAGACAGACCTTAACTTACAGGTATATATTTTTTTAAACAAAATGGCCGCCCCCTGTCTGAAAAGTGGGGTTCACCAGAGTAACCTTTTTATGATTGTGAAAGAATTTCTTTTCCTAACAATTCACTGGTTATTTAATTGTTTTACTGGTATCAGATGTAATTTTACTACCTTTTCCATCGACACTTTTACAACAGCCTAATCACTTTAATGCCTATTTGGTACTGTCAGAAGTGCCACGATCTCGCAAATAACCAACTCCTCCAGGCACCCGGTAAACCACAACAGTCATTGTTGAACGGCAAACCAAAGATCCCCAAAACCAAAGGCACTCCAGCATATCCTGGCTAAGCCTTAGTGCTGCTGGCTATCCGCAGTACACGCTAGCACCTAGAACAAACCATTTCTAGGTACAAAAGTTCCCAACTCGCAAAATATTCTTGGTTAACTGCTAGCTCCTGTTTTTCTTTTTTCAATTCCCTTTGACATACTTCTGCTCTGTAGATCCTTTGAGTACAGTGACCAATATCGCAAGATATCTGCTGATCAGAAACTCACTGCAACACAATCAGCTATTAACTGTAGCAGAGACCAAAATGCCACCAGCCCCTGCAGTCACTTCCCTATTTTCATATACCTGAGAAATAAACTCTAAATTAATAATACATGTGCGTGTTATGTTTTTGTTGGGATTTGTTTAGATCTGAAAATGGAAAACCTGACCAGGATTATTCTGACCTCCAAAGGAAACCATAACTGCAAGTAGCCCAAAATATCTTCATTTTCCAACACAGGAACTAGTTATTCTGCTACAACAAAAAAAAGTCACACGGCTTTCTCAGATTTTCTTGAGTTTCTTCCGAAGACCAGTGGCAAACAGCAGAGAGTGGTTACTCTAAACGTAAATGGGGGTGAAAACATATTCATATATTCATACATATTCAGCACATTTTCCTTTAATAAAAACGTCATATTGATACAGAGCAGAGTTCTGAAACTCTGTCTTCACTAAGGAAGTGATTAAGACGGTGTTTCTGCTCATTCTTGGGCACGTCACTCCAATCCTCTACTGCCCTCTACTGCTGGAGAGGTGTGAAGATAAAGAGAAAACTCATGAAAAGGGCTGCACAGGCCTCCTCTTACCCATATGTGCCCGATTTCAGAGCCGTGATGTTAGTGCCCTTTGCTTGACCTACTCAGGCAGCAAAGGCAACGGGAGCTGACTGAGTGACCACACAGTTGGGAATGTCATGTTCTACATGACAATCCCTTGAGGTGACAGCATTTAAACACAAATTCACTGTGGAAACACTAGAGAGCACCAAACATCAAGCAACATGACTACCGTAAAGGGCAAACAAGCTACCAAAGAGTTATACACCAAATCCGGTAAGAGTAACTTCATATTTTCCTTTGTTCAGTTATGCAAAAAACACTGAAGGAGAGAAAAAAAAACAAACCTCAAAAGCAGGAACGAGCAGTAGTAAAATTACATCTGACCAGTTCTGATTTTTTTCTTCTTTATCAAGAATTAAAGTGCTTTTTATATATGCAACTAAACCTTGCAGGGAATGATCGGGTTTCTTTTCGAGGTCAGTCAATAAAACATCCCTTCTATTCCAGCTCTGAACTGGAGCTTTCACTCAAGGGTGATAATAATAACGAGGCCATGGGCGTTAGTAAAGAGATTCACGCCCAGTCTTCCCCTTGTGGGGGGGGGCGGCCACCTCTTTCATTTAGCAGGAGTTGCTGCGGCGCCATTTCAGTGTGATTGCATCTGTCAACCCACCACTTCATTCGGTAGCTGCACGGTGTCATGCAAGGGGTTAATGTGCTCAATTACGCCGCACAGGCCTGTTTCCTAAACATTCGCACATTAGAACTGAGGGGGGAGGGGGTGAAACATCAGAAACGAAACAACGAAATCAGGATCTACAAATCGCATGCAGAAAGTTCACCATCATGCAGGCCCCCGCCCCCCACCCAGTTCCGGCCCCCAATCCAAGCCATTCCCTCCCGAAAACACCCAGTAGGAAGGATAAGGTTAAGCCCCCCAGTGCCTCTACCTGCGCACCGCGTGCTCAGAAACACTGATGCTTCGGGAGCGGAAGGCGTCCATAGCCGAGAGATCTTTCAGCTCTTTTACGGGGGAGCTAGTCAAGCCTTGCTTTGGGACTCTGGCAGTCCGCAGACTACCGGTGGGGGGCACAGAGTCAGGACAGGCGTCCCCCAACACCCCACGAAACCCACATGACAATGTACGTGCCAGCGCAATGGACACAGGCCATGGGGGGGTGGGGGGGCGGGGGGAATTGAGCAAGGATGAAGGTCAAAGGCCAAAGTTCACAGGGTCAGGTAAGCGGAAGGATCCAGGGTGGAGCCCCAATCCCCCCCCCCCATAAGAGTGAGGAGGAAAAACAAAATACAAAATAAAATATAAAATTAACAGCAGAACACACAATGCAACAGGGGAAAAAAGGGGAAAAAAAACAAGGCATAAAGGAAGGTAACTTTAAAGCATTTAAAAACAATTCAGAAACATGACCAGATGGGATAATAACAGTCAGAAAAGAAAACAGCAACAATCAACTGTATTATAAATTAATATTAAACAACAGATGAACGTATTAGGGCCTGTTACAAAGCCATGAACATCGAGTAAAAGGAAGTTAAACCAGGGTGGAGCAGAGTATTTCAGGCCTAGTTAGCTACGTCTTGTGGGGTTAATGGAATACTGCTCAAGACAGAAGTGTTTTCACCCTTTGGCAATGACAGAACTATGCCACATGCCCCTCAGCTTTAAGCATCGCACGAGCTGTGTGCAGAACGCAAAGCCCCTAATTGTGCACAAAAACCAACACTTCATCTCTTTCTAGAGGTGCCTAGGGCAACTGGTCAACACAGAAAAGAGAAACACCTGCACACCGCAGTGTGCAAAACGTCTATTTATTGTAAAAATAATAACAGGGCAAGTTATATTTTGGAAATAAATGTGGGCTTTGCAATATTCCAGTCATAGGTGCTTCTCTTCCTCCAACAGTGAATTAAAACTTTAGTGTTTGTCATATGTGTTTATTCAGACTGACAAATTGGCACCCCTTGCCTGAAAAAGAGATTAGTGACTAACATTACAACCATCAAAGGGCACTAACATCTTGGTAAGCGCACACGTGTATTTCCTCTTACAAAAATAAAAGGACATTTAACAACAATATGTTCTGTATCTGTTTTGCTACACTACATGTGTATGTCAGTCACTAATATCTGGTCCATCCTGTACATTAAAACCATTACAGCACATTCATCTGGAAATACTGTTCAGCATCCACTGTGCCAAACAGTAAATGCCCTGACTTATCCCACAATCAGTGTAATGTAAATGGGAGTGACACAATAACAGAGTCCAGCAGTGTGTTACTTTTACCGGCTCTAGTTATAGCAATCTGGGTTAGGTGCTTCTCTTAACGGCATTTCAATAGAGTAACGTTGGCATGTCATTGGCTCCTGTTCTATAGGACAGCTGCCAGACACATTGGAATCCCCAAAGCCATCAAAGACCCGAAATCCACTGCTCCGACCCCTGATAAAACAGGACATTCCACTAGGAAAATAAATAAAAAAAAACAGTTTGACATTAAGATGTTTCGCAGAGCAAGATAAAATGGAAACAAAATGGAAGTTCAGTTTTGAACATGGACTGAGCTGAAGGAGATGGTGAGGAGGAAAATCGGATGATGATTGTAGCGCGTGGCGGGCTGAGCTCACGGCTATTCGGCTTTTAGAGCCTGTCCAATGTACCAGCCTCAAAATCACAACTGCCCAGTGTGTGCTTTTTTTCTGGAAGTTCCCCCACCCCCTCCTCCCAAGACAGAATATAGTCATTTTGGAGAGGAAAGGCAGGCGTGTCGGATTAATAGGCACGTTTGTCATAACAAAATGGCAAAGTTAAGAAATTCCTTAGGGATCTTCAGACTGAAAGGACATGTAGTGTTTGCAGGAATAGATAGGAGTTGAAATTATCGATACATAATTCAGGAACTGATACATTAGTGAAGCATATATTTATGGAAAAGCCATTTTCAACTGCAGAGATTTTCTTAACCCATTTAGCACTGCAATGGTCAGCATCTGCAGATTTGACTATTCCATTCTCACGCAATGACTTGGTATGGAATGACCTGGTGTAACGACACTAATGGGAAAAGGCATCAATAAACACACAAAAAATGTGAGCACACTGAAGTGTTCCGCTTTCTAACACAGACAATGACACTGATGGGAAATCATCATTAACTTACAGGGAAGAAATTGAATTTCTCATTTAAACTGAATGGAGTGAAAACTTAGAACAATTAAAATCAATTAGAATCGGGCAATTTTCCAGGCCATCACTCATGATGGATATGTCCTGGAACAAAAATAAAACATCTGCCTTGGTGTAATTTGTCAGCCTGTTCCGAAACAGTTTATCAAGCACATTACAGCTCAGTGTTATTTATATAGTCATATATATATATTCAACAAAATATGTTTCTCTCATAAAGACTTGGCAGCTGATACAATTCTTGAAAACTAACGCCAAGAACATTCCCATAATGGGACTGTACCAACACTAGGTTTCTGGAATCCCTGCATTTAGGAGATACTGTAGCTTCCTCTTGGCACTGTTGACTTATCAGTGATCTTTCAAAGGTCTTTCGACAACCAGCAGAAAGCATCGGGCTGCCAATCTGACCATTTAAAGAAGTGCTTGACGGTCTGAGAACTTAAAAACCACTTGGCACTTTAAAGCTTTAGTGTTTCTTCTTACCTGGCTTATAAATCAAAGAAAAAAATAATCTGCTTATGGATGCATTAGATTCAACTAATGTACGTAATGTCAAGATAGCTCCCAAAGCCCAGATGGTACCAAGTCTGAAATGCCGAACCATACCTCTTTGGCCTCTCATTCAAGCTGGTGCTCCTGGCCCGAAAGTTGCTCTGTTCGTGGGAGTCATCAAAAGGCAGGAGTGCATTGGACCGCAAACCCTGGGGTGAAAGCATGTACCATGACTTTAATTGGCATTGCTGATTTCAATTAAGGCTTTGCTACACTCTCTGGTCACTCAAGCATGGAGTGGCTTATCATGACAGCAGACACACCTTAGTGGCTCTCTAGGGACTTGTCAAAACGTGATTTGATTCAATAATGGCACCAGCTTTGACATTTTGACAAGCACGTGTCAGGCTACAGTACTCTGAAAAAGTGCCCCATGCACACAGTATTTCTACTCTGAAAGGATTCGTAAGAAAGGCTCACCTTTGTGATGTACTGCACAAAATCCTTGCGAAAAGTCAGCCGACATCGAATGAACCACATGGCTATCACATGGTGTGCCAATGACACAATATACTGATTAAACCTTAGAACAGAGAGAAAAACAAGAAAAGTCGGGGCTATGTAATGGAGGACCACATAGAAACAATTCACATTAAACCCTATATTCTTCACACGTTTTTAATCACCAATAAACATACCATCCCTGGACCGTGGTCAGCACTTGGACTAGGGAATATAACACACTATGGTATTGGACACTGCTAGACTAGGAAACAAATTCCAATTAGATCTGCTCTGCAGCAGTGTATAATAGTGAAAACATGCTGCAGAAGTACTGTCTCTTGGCAAAGACACTGAACAAAGCTCTGTGCTACCTTGTGGTCATTAAGAACACTGTTGCCCCGCTTAAATTCACCTTCTGGGCATCTCGGGCTAATTTTACAGAAATTTTCTCCTCCTATTAAAACTCATTCCTTCATTTTTAATCACCTCGTCTTCTGTGTAGCAAGTGATGAACTTAAATTGCCTGGTATCTGTAAAGTATTTTGAAAAGGTTGAATGGCCTCCTCGTTTGTCAATGTCTTTAAGCATTGATGAAACGTGACAAAAACAAGGCACTATTTGTCTTTATATTAAATTAAATCTCTTCAATCTACCTGCATTCAAGAAAAGACCAAACCTTAAAACAACCTAAAAACATGAATGCAAAATAACCCATTTAACAACCATCTTGTAGTATAATTCTCATTGGAGATTATGTTTCTGCCGGTAATGCCAAAAATCAATGTAATGTTTCGAATGATTACGATTTTATCATTTAAAAAAAACATTTGGGGTACTTACTTTGATGGGTTGGTATAAGGGAGAGAGATGGCGAAGACGCTCACATATTGCTCAGCCACAAAATTGGCATACAAGTGAGGCAATCTGACAAGAGCTGGAAAAAAGAGAAGCAATCACATGAGTGACCAAATAGGCACAACTCAAACCCACAGGGTTTATTCTACAACTTCACACTTGCAAGAATGAGGGAGAACATGATCCATGAAAGGCTCCTTCTCCAAGGCAATGAGTCTTGAACTCTGCCTTTTGTTTCAGGCTTCTACAAAAAGAAAACTGATACGGCAGTTGCCCATTTCTAAAATTATGGAAAAATGTAAAATTGTCAGTCTGCTCAACGGGGTTGATACGGTGTTTCACTGCACCAGACGCATGTTAACATCATGTAAGTGAGTGGATTAAAACATTCAAAACAAGTCTAAAATGATTTCCCCCCGTCAACATCCGCCTACCAGGAACCCAAACCTGACAACCGTGTGGTCCAGTGGTAACGGCGCAATAAATGCAAAAAGAAGCGAACGTCCACAATTGTTTTCCCAGCGCTCCTTTTTTTGATGTTTAACAGAAGCAAAGCTTATTACAGAAGACTTCAGCAAAAACAGCTATTATGAAATTGTCCAGGTGGACAGTTCTTACACTTTGCAATTAAGCATTGCCTTCTCTTTTGAAGGATAACACCAAACATCACAAGATCTGTATTTCTGGTAGCAGCATGAGCTGTCAAAGGACGATTAAGAGCAGGAGCAGGTGAGGGGTCAGTGGAACAGTGAAATGCAAGCACAAGTGGAACCTAAATAAAGACGGAGAACGTGGGGCACTTTTTAACAGGAGTCTTGTGGGAGTCTGGAACAAGCTACCCAGCTACGTTGTTGAAGTCGATACCCTGCCTCTCTTCAAGAAATGACTGGATGAGATCCTTGAATCAAATGACTATTAACTTCCCAACAGACCAGATGGGCAGAGTGGCTCGTTTGTCAGCTAGACACGTGCCAAAACACCCCAGAAACACCCCTAGCACTTACTTGACAGGAACTCCAGCATGGGTGAGGCCATGGTGACTGTGGCCGAGATGTGGGTAAGCTTAACGATCAGAGCTGGCAGCAGCTTGACCATGATGTCGGGCATCTCCACGGTGCACATGGTCAGAGCCACCACACACAGCTTGGCACAGCGGTAAATCAAGCCTGCCTCCAGGCACTGGACCAGCTCGCGCTGAAACACAGGCAGAAGGACAGCGAGTCCCCTCAGGGGTTATGAAGGAACATAAGAAGTTGCACAGCAACTGTCTGAAAGAGTCCGCCGAGACACCAGAGAGAAGCACCTGTCGGGGCTGCTCCAGGTAGCTGTGGTAGGACGTGAGGGCGGTCAGCACTGGCACCACGCTGAGCTGGACGTCCGTGCGGGAGAAGCCCTCGGGGGTTCGGTGGAGCCTCTCGGAGATCAGCCGATCGGTCACCTGCAGGCCGGAGCCGGTGCGCGGCAAGGACAGCGAGGTTGAGGAGGGCAAATAAGTAAATCGCATCACAGGCCACTTCTGTCAACTCTGCTTCAGTTTAATGCACTACACTATATTCCTCCACCCTTTTCTCCCATATTGCTGCTTGCACTGAAAGTCCAATGACTCTGGTGTCAAGACGCAGAAGGATTTAAGTATGTGGCATAGCGGTAGAACCATATAAGAGGTTTCTGCTGCTCCCCGTTTTGACATTTTTAATCATTACAGTTTCGAGCTCACGTATAGCCTACAAGACACAATAGATTAGCAATACCGCCCCTTTCTAGAAATGGCTTTGAACACACAATCCTTACCAAAATTCCAATGAAAAAACACAAGAAGTGCCGAAAAAAACATTGTTTATGAATCTGTGATATCACATGTTTTTAAAAAGGCAGTTGTGCAGAATTAGCACAATAATTTTATGAAAGGCACAATTAATGACTAAAGACCTTTTCAAAACATTTACAAGAGGATGGGCACCTGAAAAAAGGCTTTATTTACCATAGAGCACAGTGTGGAGCACAGCTGGTCTATACTGCAGTGGGAGCTCAGGAAGAGGACTTTGTACTGCAAAGATGATGGCATTTTATCCAGAACTAACTTCAAAACCTTCCAGTCCGACTCCTGAATTTAAATACACAAGAGATCAGATAAGATGAGAGAACAAAAATAGACTAAAACAGTTAAAATGATATAGTCACACTTCCAGAGTTAAAAGCAGCACCAAGAATGAATAACAGAAATTGCTCTGACCAGCCAAACCAGTCTCCAGGTATGATCTGCTTAAAAAATAATACCGAAGGTTTGATAAGCGATGATGAGTAAACTGCAGGAGCTACACATCTCTATTTTATTCTTCTGCATAAGGTTAATATTTACCAACTTTTTTCCCCATTCTTCAAATGGATGGACAGAGTCAACTGAAACAAGTGGGTAAAGACAAAATGTATTTCAATGACCTAACACACCACAAAGACATCTGTTTTCAATACTCCTGTTAGTGTATGGAAATTTTGAGGTCCACAGACCCCGGATCCCACAGTGGGAAAGACAGCAGACTTCACTTCCCATCGAATTCGTTTACTCTAGATTAGGCCACTTTCCCCACAGTGGAGTATGGGTGACACTGTGAACCTTCCAGACACTACGAGTGCTGTGCCACCAGGAAAATAATTTAACAGCGAATGCTTTCCTCCCCCTGCAGCTGTATGTACCTCTCAGTTACCCTTTGAACCAACTCCCAGCATCCTCCATTCTGAACACATGGAAACAAAGAATGGGAACTGAGCCAACAAGGATACCGCGAACAATCCATCACTGACGGAGCACCGTTAGCTCACATGCAACCCTAATGCACGTCCTAACACCCTGTTTGGGTTTTTGCAGAAAACGAAGACCTACGTAACCTGACTTCATTCTGCTGTTCCACCCCCCCTACATCTGGAAAGAGGAAAACAAGTTCTTACTGCAACCAAAGACAGCGTTTCATTTAATCTGATACACACCGAGGTCTTCGTTTTCCTAAGCTGGAAGGCACATGCACTATCCCCATGGCACAGACATCGCATTCATTCGTCTCCGCAGAAAAACGTGTTTTGCAGCGGATCGTCGCCTGTAGTCCCGCGCGCAGACAAAGTGCGCATTCACCGAGCAGCTGCCTGGCTAAGTGGGATCCCAGGACGCTCCCAAAGAGATGGTTACAATCAATCTGATTGTTTTGTAAACGCGGCGCAGGGTCGACCTCCCAGCGCATCGCGCTGAACGGATACTCGCCAGCTTCAAGCACTGCAGGAGGACGGTGAAGGCCAGGGAGTAGGGCAGGTGGCCCATGCGAAACGAAGAGGCCTGCGTGCCGGTCGCCGGGCTGCCAGCAGGTGGTGACACTGTGCCGGAGGGTTTCTTCTCGGTCACCCTCTTCTCTGGCTCCCTGAGATAACGTGAGGAAACGGAGGGGGAAAAAAAGGAATTTGACTTCCTTTACAGTGAGAGCAGGAAAACCAGGATTTGAAAGACTGTGCAGGAAATGCTGGGAAATAGTGCAATAGAAAACAGAAAATATTGAGCAAAATCATGCTTGGGTTAATTTCAATTATGCAAAAAGTTAGGGCCTGAGCTTTTTATTCCAGGATTCCACATCTAAGCCCTTTTTCTGCTTCTCTGCCTTAAACTAATTGCCCTGACTTTTATGGTGATCACATTTTTTTTTAATAATCTGATTTTATGAAGTGAATGGCTTTCTATAGGAGGTTTTTCCAAGTGCCTGTCACAAGCCTTGAAAATGATCACATGCACGAAACATATCTGCCATTTGCTGTTTATCATTCCCTTCCTAAAAAAATGATTTTGAAGAGGCAGGGCAGCACATCGGCGCTCCTCCTTGTGGCGATAAAATCCACAGTCTCACCCCAGGTCACAGTAGCAGTACGGGCTAAACCTCAGGACACCATCTTTATTGGGGACCCCAAGTCGATGGAGGGAATCTGCCCTCATCAGGAGGAAGAAATCAAACACCTGTTCGACAAAACAAAACTGTGAGCTTTCTGGAAGGGACTTATCCAATAATAGCACCAACTCAGAAGCCAGAATGAACCCCAGGAGCAGGGATCTTCCCAACTGGGAACGTCTGTAAATTGTGAGCAGAATTATATATATATACACATTTGTATTGCCTATTACAATATTATATAATACCACCCATCTTCTAACTGCTTCTTCCAATTCAGGGCCGCGGGACAGCCAGGAAGTATCCCAGCGAGCAACAGGAGTAAGGTGGGGTATACCCTGGATGGGACGCCAGTCCATCTCAGGGCACATATACACACCAGGGCCAGTTTCTCCAAAAGCCAATTAACCCACCAGTATTGCTTTGGACTGTAGGCCTGAAGCCAGAGCACCTGGAGGAAACCCACACTAACACAGGGAGAGCACTCAAGCTCTACTCAGTGGTAAAAACGGCTGCCCTTACAATATTTAAAACATTTCTATTCGATATACATTTTCATTATGTATTATTCATATCACATCACACATATGCCTTTGTCACAGAAGAGCAGATGGCGTCCAAGCAGACCTCAGCGCAGTGTCGCCTGCCCATGGTGCTCCAGTCCTCCCTCAGACAGACAGGGGGAATGGTCATTAATGCCCTGATTGGGGCAATTTAGTTGGACAGGTCTGCTGCTTTTATGTGACCTGGGTGGGCTGTAGCAGCGACCCCGGATAGTTAATCATTGCAGACGTCAAATTGAAGAAACACAAAAAAAAAGCTAGGAAAAACTACCAACCTTTGCTCATTCCCCACCTTTTAAATATCAGATGCGAAAGCTCCCTGTGCCCAAGCAATGTGTTTTAAGATGACACGCAACTGAAAGTAGGACTTAAAGGGACTTTTTTTGTACACTCTTACATGATCAGCAGACTCCACATGCAAAAAGGAGTTAAATCTGGGTATAAAAAAAGGCAAATATTTTTTTCATGTTTGTTCGTTTTATTTTTGCTACGATTTTCATGGCCGTCTTACCTGTAAGCGGATGCTGCTGGCTATGCTGGAGCTGTACCTGTGTTTATAGTGCAGCTGAATGTGGCCAATAAGGAGCTCATAGACTCGACAGGCATGGCCAGCCGGCAGGCTATACAGCTTAGTCTGCAAGGAACAAAAAGTTCAAACAAGAAAAGCACTGCAGGACTTAAAAGAAACGTTCCACTTCTATCAGCCAGTGAGGGGATTTTGCATATTGTTTCCCCACAAAAATGCACTGAAACCTTTATTCCGAATCGCCATTTACACGCCCAGTGAAGCCACCGACGGCAAGCACCGGGGGGCCACAGACCTGTAGGATCTCTAGGAGCCCCAGAATGGCCGTCTTCACATCCTCCATCGGCGCCTCGGATCCAAAGTCTCTGTCTGTGGCTTCCAGTGTCACAGGACAAGCGAGTGAGAGGCTCACCACCTGCAGCCGGTCCACACCAGCACAGGACACACAGACACTTACTGTCTTACATGGATACTGTGCAATATATGGGTATGGCATAGCCACAGAAATATGGCACTGAACCCTTACAGGAGGTGCAGAAATGGGAATGTTTCAGGCACCAATTCCAGCTTTATACTGCATGCAATTTATTATAAAAAACATTTTTATTAACTTAGAGATTAACTTAATGCTAGCTTTGCAAAATCACGTTTAAAGAGTTATTGACAAGTTACCGATAGTCTAGCAAAACTACCAAAACACATTCTTTCCATTTCTCCCCCCAGTGCATAAGATTCTACTTCTGGATTTAGGTGCAGATTTTGAAACTGCTGATCACAACTCCCTACTGTTCAGTATGGAAAACGAGATAGGGATCACTGGTACTTCCCCCTGTTGGTTCCTTGTTCTTCTTCCCTCTTCACAAATCTTGATTATTTTAAATCTGGTATTGTTCCAGCTAATCCACAAAGTTCATCTGAGGCTCTGCGACGGGGAACACTTTCAAAACCTGCTTAGTGACGTTCCCCTTCCCTAATACTTTTCACTACGTCAATGTATCGGGCAGGTTTCCACTAATCCCTTTGCTTTTGTGCAGGGATTTGAGTTGCTGGAAAAGCACGCGTAAATAAAACAATTAAATTCCCATCACTACAGCTGACCCTCTAAGAAAGTGATATTGTAACATTTCACCCAGATTTCCAGCTGCTTTCCCTTGCTGGGAGCAGGTGAATACTAGGGCAGCTGCCGGCTCTGACCTTCTCTATGATGTCCAGAAGGCTGTTGAAGTGATGGGTGTTGCACCCCTCGGCCAAGTCCACCAAGAGTTGGGTGGCCAACTTCCGGACATGCAGGTCCTTGTCCTCCGCAATCTGTCCAAGCTGAGGGATCACCACTGTCTCGATCAGCTCCTCCTGGGACAGGAAAAGCAGACGTGCTGCGTCAAGCGACGGACTACGTACAGCGTTTCCAAAAGATCACAAAGCTACGTGCAGAAGGTAACAATTAAACACCGATAAGGAATCAATTTAATACTACCCTTAGCATGGAGCAACTCCTATGGAGCATCTAGCCTCTGAGGGCTGCTCAGAGACAGGGGTTTGGGAAACCGTCACCAGAAGAGGACTCTGCCACCCCGCTCCCAGTGGAAAGAAGGAAATGCTAACCTCGTACAGCTGGCGGTTTGTGCTGAGGACAAACGACAGGACGTCAAGGACTTTGATCCGGATGGCGCTCCTGGTCTCGTTCCTGTTTGGAGGGCGAAAAGTTAGGAGCCACCATCTCTCCGACGGAGAACATTGCAGAACAGGGCTGAACAGAGCAAACGGCCTGTATTCAGCCGAGATGCACAGTGCCAAAAACAGGTCCATATTCCAACTTACTACTGTGATAAAAATTTAATAATCACAAAACTGGACACAATGCAGCAGCTTTCACTAGCCTGTGCTGCTCCCTTCATCGATAGCGACCTAATTTGGTGTAAAAACTGCCTCGTCTTTTTCCCCCCTCATTTTCTCTTCGGCCAGGAATGGGTCATTCCGGCCCTACAGGGCTGGAGGAGATTACTACAGGGTGACTGGTAGTTAATTGACCCAGGGATCACATCCAGCCACGTTATGAGAGAAATCAGGGCACTGGCTTCAATTACATGGGCAGACTCCCATACAGTAAGTCAAAGTATCTCTCCATTATGTCCATCTTTCCTGGAGCATTCTTTACCTGAAGAACTTCTCCATCAGTCTCTGCAGGTTCTGGATCCACCCATCTTTGCCAGGCTGAATGGAGTGAGCGCGGTAGGATATCAGGATCATGACTGAGGATTCCTGCGAATGGACAAACGCAGAACAACAGCCAACAAGTCAAGCCCAGGCTACTGAAACACAGGCTTACTGGAATAATCTAAAATTATTTAGATTATTTAAAATAATTTTTAGAATAATCTACAAAAAACACTTAAAAAAGGTTTTTTTCCCCTCAGTCTAAGCTGAACTTTTCTTTTTACCAAAGAATAAAGAGAAACAATCCAGGCTTATTAAAAAGAAGTTAGGATGTTTCCTTAACTGTCTTATACAGGACTCTGTCTTTTGTTTGGGTTTTCATATTTCCCGAATTCCTATAAGTTTACTTTTTGCTAAACATTTTTGAAAGACCGTCATGCACAACTGGAAAAGAAGCAAAAATAAATCTTTCAAGGTGCTAAAGAACTCACTGTACAGTTATTGAACACTTCTAATACAAGCAAAGTAAAGAGATTCCTTCACATTCAGGCACTGTCACATGATCTAAAAAGTCAGAAGGCTGAGTTATTTTTTCTTCCACATATTAAAAATTGTTTTCCCAAAACTGCCAAGCTACAGATTACTGATCCAATTAGTCCATTGTATGCACTTTGCCATTCATGGAGGAATTCTGAAAACAGGCACAGTTTTAAACACCACCTCTGTCCAACGAGGATTTAAATGTCTGGACACTGATGAAAGCAAGGGGCGAAACAGGAACATTGTTGACCAATATAAGAAACCGAAAAGGGAAAGGCCAGGAAATTAAACAATAATAGTAACACACTGGCATTTTAAAAACGTGCAGCTACAGGCTAAACAAAAATGGGTTAAATGGTACACACAAATTAAAATGCCTTACCGGTCGTTTATCAGAACACTTCTCAATCAGCCCAAAGAACCGCTCACAACAACCGTGGTACCCATTCTGTTCATACAGCTCCTCCACTGTGTTCAAAAGCTCATGGACTATTGCCTTGAGCTCATGGCTCCCGATGGCCTGCAAAGAGAACTGAGTGAGCGCTAGACACGACGTGAAATACACCAGGTTTACTAGCACCAGTCTGAATACAGTTTAGGAATGGAATCTGTCGAGGTGTCACCTAAGTTGGAGGACTTTCTTGCCCAAAATCTCAGCAAAAAGCAAAAGCCCGGACAAAATCCTAGCGGACAGGGAATAACAAACCTCTGCTGCTGATCAACCGCACGTGCTCTTTTCTGGCTGCCATGAAAGTACTAAAAGCCATCGTTTCTTTCAAACACTGTTAAAGTCTTCAGGCGTTCAAAATCACCTGGATCTGCTGCAGTAGCCTTTCGATGATTTTGAGAAGAATATCCCAGGTGACCACCTGCAGCTCCTTGCCATATTTCTTGATGAGTCGTGTTATTGAGAGCACTATTTCATAAGAGACAACTTCATTGGCACAAGTCATGGCCTAGGAGAAAAGACAGTAGACTGAGAATCTGAACCCTGAACCATGATAAATCAAGGGCTTCATTGTGTAAGTTTTTATTTTTCAAGAACACACAGCAAGCTTCCCACAAATACAAGGAACTATATATAAAATACTTTATATAAAGTGCTCAACTATCCTTAGCAGTGTATTTCGAATATAGGGCCCATAATGTCTCACATTACTTCAGCTAAAACACCGTGTTTCAACGTGTCTTTTTATATTTGACACAGGTGTATCATCAGGGAAGCTTTCTGTCTGTTGTCACTTAAACCTGCCAAAGAAAGGTTTTTCTTCGAGCCTGGATGAGACAGAAGCACCTGATTGACCAGATAAAGCACCTGGAAAAGAACAGCAAAGGATCTGCGAGTTTCTAAAGCCTTTCAAAACTTGCTCATTTTGTCCCAATCAAACTAAATTTAACAAATTAAATGGACTTGGCATTTAATTCGAGACTTGCCTTGTAGAACGAGGGCAAAACCAACGTGGGTGTGTTTTTGAGAGCGGAGAGCCGGTGGGCGCCCCAGAGAGCCATTCCCACGAAGAACACAGCGCCCCTCAGGAGAGCCGCGTCTTCCATGTAGGCTCTGAAACACAGGCCACAGAGCAGCCGGCCCCACGCCGGTTAACTCCAGATCGCACCAGCCACACACACAACTCGCACGTCTTCCAGAATCCACTGCAACTGCACTTGTGGGGAATGTTTCCCTAAACCTTCCCATGACGCTCATCTTTAATCTTCAGTTAGATACCTTTCCTAGTATCACAGGTAGGGACTGCCCTCAAGAGCTCTGATGACCTCTATGACGACGTTTAGTTCATTTTTATGCAAGCACGATAACTTGGGCCAACACCTGTCTGCCAGCTGAATAATCACAAAAGGAACAGGACGTCCGGTCTCCTAAATTTAACGATGCGTAGATTCTGAATGTCATTTCCCCGTGCCATTTCATGCGATGTCTGTTATAATGTTAAATACCCCGAGGGCACTTGATACTTTGGCTTGGCCAAGCTAATGACAACCCGTGATTTGCCTTATTTTAACTTGTGCAAACACACAGAGAAGATGCAGCAGTCCTGAACCAGCATGGATCTCAGATGCATGTGAAAAACAATCAAAGGTAATACACAGAAAGCACTCTCTGATCCTTGGGTGAGCCCACACAGGGTTGCCTTGGCAATAAGATGGAATGTAAAAACAATGGGTTCAAGTGCGTTAAAGAATGACTCAATCTGTGTAACTCCCCAGACAACTTTCAAATGGTCAGGGGATACAACATACCGAACAGGACAAGAAGAAGAGAACAAAACATGACAACAAATGGGAAATGGTATCGATCTACTACGTGGGGAAAACACGTGCTCTCATTACAGAAACTCAGCCAAAAGCATGGAAATCCTGAGCTGCTCTAGACACTGTAACCATCCTCAAAGCTTCAGCCTTGAAGCTTTCCTCGCATTACCTCTCCTCCATAATGCGGCACATGGTGTAGATGGCGCTATGTCCTAAATGAGTCCCCAGGACCTTCCTCATTAGCTGCCAAAAAGAAAGGATTGCTCATAAGCCTATCATTCATCATTGTTTTGACAAACTACATTTTACATTTTCTCCAAATGCTTCAATGCAGTCACAGTGAATTTTGCGTATGCATGCATACCAATTAGCACTCATCCAATTAGAAGGCTAGATGGCACTGTTGTACAACTCCTTAATGTGCATATAAAGCCAAACATCAAATACTGGTGCAGACACTTTGTATTTCATTGTTTGACACCACAAGAGCAAGTCAGAAGCCACTAGCCTGTAAACAGGGCTCATTAAGATTTTCACAGCAGCCCTTCTACTAAAAAAAATTTATGACCGTTTTGATTTTTTATGTGGGGTTTGTACTTCCGCCTAGTGTGTGGGAAACATTTTGCAGGATCAATAAACACACTAACCCGAAATATGCAATTCAACTGAGCCATTAAAGCAACATTACCTGGGAGTAGAAACACTAAAATGACAATTTTTTAAACGAGGCTTACTCGAATGATAAAAAAATCATACTGATTCATAATAAGATAAGTTCAGCCTTGTGTAAATGGGCAGATGTATTTAATTTTTTAATAAAACCTACATAAAGTTAAAATCAGTTTATCTCACTTTCGAAATTCCGGTTATGACTAATATGGAGCTCTACATGAAAAGTCGCAGTCAGTTTATTAAAAACACACACGATACACACGTATGCTACCAAGGATGGCCAACGGCTGCAAATTCCAAGATTCCCAACTAGGAGACCTAGTACTTTAGGCAGGCTTCTTGGGTAGAAGCACATATGGAGCCTAACAAAAGTTTCCAACCAGCCATGTTTGAATTAATGGCTGAGCACAGGTCCTTCAGACAAATTTCTTGCGATTCGAACTGTTCTCTTCCTGAAAGAAAACAATGTTAAACATGCTTGGAGCTCTGAATTAAACCCACCTTCCAGCAAGATTCGCAGAACTCCTTCACGTTGACTGTGCGGCACAGGGTGATGATGAAGCCAGGCAGGGAGTCAGAGGGGAGGCAGTTGTAACAGACGACCGCGTCCAGCACTTGAAGAGACACCTACGGAGAAAAGCAGGACAAGACACGAGGCAGAGTGAAAACGTAAGATAACTCTGCATCACCCCCCCCCCCCCAAAAAAAAATCATTTTCATGCTGGAAAGGAAAAATAAGTTACCTCGATATCCGTTGATGATGTTGTCCGGTTGCATAAGAGGCAGATTTTGCTATTGACACAAACAAACCACATAGAATCAGTATACAGACAACAAATTCGATTTGTAATGTCATGATTGTTGAATGTTTAAGAAGAAAACTTAAGGAACTGTCGGCAGCAGAACAAAATTTAAATTTCTCTGTCAATGCTGCTCTTTATGCTGCTTGCAACTTCACAGCAAGCACTCTTAACTGTGCCTCACTGTTTTATCAGAGCATGTGCCAAACACCTTATAAAACCCTTCTCAAATCCTGCAGGATCACCGGAGGATTCAGAAACAGGATGTGGACTACAAATAAAGGCTCTTCAGATAACGGGAGCAAAACACACTCAGAAATTGTGTTCCTCACCTTTCACAACCAGTCTTTCAATAAAAGACTCACTGATTTTTTTTTTCTTCAGAACACAGAGGCTGAAAAGGTCCTACTATTAAAATGGAGTGTGTTTTGCAGAATCAATTACCACAAGCAGTCTTTCAACAAAAGACGCACAGAGTTTTGGCAGAAAATCAATAATAACCTGCCATAAATAAAGAACTACTGAAAAAGCAAAATAATTCAGGGCGATTCTCTGGGAATTCAACAGCCTGGTGAATAAGGCTCTTAGGTCTCTTAGCTACTAGGTAAAAAAGCCCCTCCAATTTGTAATGTGGGTTCTTACTGGACCATCTGTGAGACGTTCTGGTCAAGATAGCAGCTGTTGAATTTGACCAAGTTCACAAGCACTTGTAGGAAGTCTGCAGTCAGTCCCACATCCATCCACAACAGTACGAATCGTGCTGCAGACGGAAAAAAAAAAAGATGATCATGGATTCTGGGACTTTTGGGGGAAAAAAAGGCAAAGCAGTGAGTTTCGGCAATCACAGCTTGGGCAAAATGGGTAAAGGTAGTTATGGCTCGTATACGTCTCCTGATTCTCTCCCAGCGGCTCTACTTCTCTATTACAATGTACTATGAGTTCCGGTATCAAACAGACCAGGGCAAATCAGTGTTTTATTACAGGGAAAAAGAAAAAATCCATTTTGAGAAGAATTTATTTTCAAAACTTTTAAACTGCACTATTCTGTATTTACACTGCATAGAAGAAACTCCTACTTTCTCTTTGTTTGAACTTTTTATAAGTAAACCCTTTATGCAACGCTGTCTGATTAAACCGCAGTATGACCACACGATACGAAACAACACAAAACAACGAACAGTGATTACCAAAGAAATAGCCTTATTAATACAGAACAAAACACATGACAAAATTGAAATGTCTGGAAAAAAATATATTTTATAATGCATCACTGTGCTGGTGAGAAGAGAGCTTACCGATATCTTCCTCTAAATAGGTGATGTCTTTGCCATTCTCTGTCATAGCTTTAAAGACCTCCAGTCTATCATGCAGGTCTTCACTGGAGGGGTGATAGTCCCTGATGACACTGAAGAAATACGCACGGAGAGGACCCAGCCTTTCACCCTATTAGCAAACAGAAAGGCAGGTAACTTGGGAGGTAGAACTCACAGGAGTCAGAAATTGCACGTAGGCATTCAGTTTTGAGCCTCTACAATGCAGATGCAGCTGTCGGTAGCAGCTCATCAGAACAACATGGCATATTAAATTAGGCTTTAAAAAAAAAATCACTCATCTCCTGAGAAATCAGACAACCTTCCAATTATGTAAACCAATGAGAAACTGCAGAAAAGCAATATCAGTACCAGAAAAACAATAATTTACACCTCATATCCTTAAGCTTTTAAGGCAGGTGATGGAGGAGTGCTCGCTCCATATCAGGCATGCTAGCCTTTTGCCCTGAAGCACAGAATGACTGTGTTAAACTATGAGGCCCATCATTGCCTGACATCCACCTATTTCCTAACCTCTGTAGCCAGTTCAGGATCATAGACAATCTTAAAGCAATGTGTCAAAAACAGTCCAGACTCATCAATCTTTCCCATTCACTTAAGGCATTTCATCATTCATCCCTCCCCAGGATCCGAGCTGGGGACGGGGGCCTTACCTGACCCTGGATGATGGCTCTCAGCAGCTGCAGGACGGCTCGCCTCGCCTCTGCCGGCTGGTCAGGCTGCAGCATGTCCTCCACAGCCTTCCACAGCGCCTCCACCGCATGCTGCAAGAACACAGCAGGACGCCGCTTACCCAGGAGACGTCAAGGAAGAGAAGCACTGGCACGAATACTGAGCCAAAGGTACCATGCTAGCAGAGAGCTTAAAACAGACCAATGGATCACTGTAGTGGAGTCCCAGTCTTATTATGGCAAGACCACTTAGAGTTTAAAACTGGATATGACAATTGCTTGCTATTTTCTTTAAAAAAGTAGATAGTAACAAAGAAACGGCCTCCCCCAATTTGGCTGGCCAGACTCCGAGCAAGGCCTGGCTTTGAGACTGAAGCAGGATGTTCAACAAAGGCACCAGTGTACTGTACAGACAATAAAGGAAGAGGTCAGAAGGGCAACAGTTCAAAACACAAGCGACACAGATTTCCACAGAGAGCAGAAGCATCTGCGCCGCGAGGAAATTCACATCCCCACGCCTGCCTCGATTTTCTTCTTTCAAGCTCCCAGAGCTTGCCCACGCTGCTGGGAGCCACACAAAACCCCGCCCGAACGCAAAAGCCGAGAAACGAGCGTCGCCGACTCACCTCCTCGAACTTCTTAGACTTGGCGAGCTCACAAATGTGGGTGATCACCCGGATTCGGTTGTGTAAGCCGCACTCGACGCTGAGCTCCTAGGATCAGAGAACCCCCAAAAGACAAGGACACTTTCACTGTTATTATATACGTACAACACCTGGGGCTTTCATTCAGACCTTTTATTGCCAAATGTACACAGGACAACAACAGCAGAAAGTACAAAACATAAAAAACCATAAAGACCCCAAAATATCAGGTACAAAACGATGTAGTTATGCATCTGATGTCATCTAAAGCATATAACGGCATTTAGATATACAATCAGTACGCAACACTCAAACAGTAACAGTTCATTGTTCATCTATGTATTGGCTTTATTACTCTGCTCTCCTCCCCACTGAGAGCTGATGTGTGGTGAGCGTTCTGGCGCACTATGGCTGCCGTCGCATCATCCAGGTGGATGCTGCACATTGGTGGTGGTGGTGGAGGGGAGTCCCCATTACCTGTAAAGTGCTTTGAGTGGAGTGTCCAGAAGAGCGCTATATAAGTGTAAGCAATTACTATTAATTATTATTATTGTCACAACAAAAGTTTTAAAGACTTCCAAGCAAGTTCCCACCCCCTTACCCTAACAGTGTGAGTGAACTGCAAGTAAACCGAAGGAAAACAACATTGTTTTCCACCAGGTTTGGAATGTAGAAACCAAAATGTTTCTGAAAAACAGTTACCAGCACAGGATGGGTCACTGCCACATGTGAGCAGCAGGTCTCAAGCAGGTCTACAGTAGGTGTGATAAAACCTAACATGTTTCTTACACAAGTGTAGTTAAACTTTGCAAGAAACAGCCATTGTGGCTTCCACTGGAACGCCATTTCGCCATATATGTGAATGGTATTGTCAATAGAATGATACCAGTGTTTAACCTCTCTCCCCAATCTGTTCCAACACTGACTAGAGATATTAAATTATTTTTTACCTCTCCTTGTAAGAAATCTTGCAATAAGAATACGTTTTGTCTTTCTGGAATTTATACTGTGATACTACAGAAGAACCGAGTTTCCTCTGACTTTTGGTTGGGATACGTCAATCAAGTGTGACCCAAAAACAGCAACAGGGAAAACCGGGGAGACCTTCACAGCCGTACCTTCAGTATGTCAAGGGTGATGATGAACTCAGAGGGCTTGCTTTCAGCTTGCTTACTGATGGTGCGAGTCTGACCCAGTCCAAATATGCCTTTGACCCTGTCCTTCAGTGACTCCTTGCTCTGTTGCTTGTTCATGCTGGAGGCTGGAGAGTTGTAAAGGCTGGGGTATTCCTGGAGAAAGCACAGTAACATCGGTGCGCTGTGCAGCGATTTCAAGCCACAAACGGAGACTAGAAATTTTCATATCGGTTGCTAGACCTTTTTTCCCCGTCAAAAAGGTACTGTTATTTTGCACAGCAGCATATTAAAAGTGTAAACTAACAGACATTCGAGCGTAACAACACAACATCGTGGCTACGAGCCAGTCTTTTAGCTAAAGGCAAAATCCCAACTAAAAAACAACACTAAGACCTCAATCGTGGATATGAATTCTACCTTACTGAACAGTTACAGTCTGCTTTGTATACAGCGCAAAACACAAAACAGGCACAGTCACAGCTGTCTGCTGCACACAACAGCTAACCCCCGGTGTGCAAGACTGTCTAGGCTGTGCGAGGTATATTCGCAGCTCAGCATTTAAAACAAAACGTCAATTATCTGTCTAATGCGTACTGCACAGTGCTTCAGTATCTCCTCTACAGCAATCTGATGTAAATATATATATATATTACGCGCAACAATAAAGCCTACCTGTATTTTAACAGAATTGCTGTTCAGATCATTAAAATGCAGCCAACGTCAAAAATGCCAGAGTGTTCATTAGAATTGTGGCTTTGTTTGTCATGTTAATGTTTTCCCAGCTCAGCTAAGCACTTGAAGCAAACAAACCCCATCACTCCTTCAACAGGAAGTTGTAGTTGGGAAAGCTTGCACTTCCTAAAAAAAACCCACCCTCTGGCTGCGTGCTGCATTCTGGGAAATGTAGTCTTCTGTGCGGTGGAAGTGTTTTGCTCTGTGTGTGCGATTTTAATTAAACAGTACAACATGGATTTTGCACAGTAGTTCATATCAGTCTGTATAATTAATTAGAGGGCTTTGGACTCCATATTGCTCATATTCCAGCAGTTTTTATCAGCTTCAAACACGCGCGGCCTCGGTGTGCCACACCGTGCGGTGAAGTTTGATAGAAATAGCTTGTTTAATGGATGCGTTATTTTTCTGTCTTCAGAATGACTTCCCCTTACTTTTTAGAAACGGGCGCCGGCGTGGTGACGAGAAAAAGGAGCAAAGTGTTGAAGGCAGAGCTCGGTTTAACTGGTGCACGAAGCAGCGAGGCGAAGGAGACGTCAAAACGGAGGGGCAAAGACGAGGATAAAACACTGAGTGACCAGGATCGTTTCTCCTCCGCTGATGCCCAGAAGGATCCAGCTGCAGGTGAGAAAGGACTGGTGTTTTTGTTTCTTCTGCTGTTGTGTGTAAGTTTAACGGCGATAAACTGCGATGCGTGAGGGGTATGCACCGCTGCTGGCTTCTGATGAACTTGCACCATCGCAGGAAGCACTGTACTTGATCATTAAAAAACAACGATCACTTGAAAAGTGTGTTGAAATGACACTGTAAATAAAATTGCATGGTGAAAATGGGGTTCCGACAGAGGCTTGGTATTGGTAATTCATTGGGAATAACAGTTGTATTCGGTGAATAAAATCACTACACAATGCTGAGTTCGAGTATCAATAATTGTAACTAATTTGCGGTAGCTAACCCCACAAGTGGGTAATTTTGATGACATTGGGCACCAACAGAAATATATAACTAATTACGACTATTGCACTGATAGTAAATTTAGTGTGAATTTCACTTTTTATGTTTTTATTTTATATTCTTGAATTGTTTCTGCTGGGGGGGGGATGACAGTCTGGTGACAGGAGAGTCACAGTCCAGCAGGTTTTTGGATAAATCTGTAAGTATCCCAAGTTGGAACACTTGGGAGGTGTAGTGAATTGGGTGAGTTACTTAGTTCAGTTAAATCAGATTAATTAGCACCAGCGATTAAGGGCCTAGTTGAAACGGAAAAAAAAACAGCTGGTTCCCTCAGCCCGTGGGCCAAGAGCCACTCATTTAACAGTGTCCCACACGGACTTAGTGCTTTCTGAAGTGGGCTTTTCCTGAAATGCACCACATCAAATACGTTTTGATTGTTCATGAGATCTGACCTTAGTTATACGGCCATGCAGTGGACTCCTGACTACTGCAGAACAGGGGGGCACAAACACCAGTCCTGAAATACCCCCCCCACCACCACCCTGAGCCATTAATTCCCTAACTGAACTCATTATCGTCTCAACTGGACAAGTTGAAGCCTGCCCTTGCGCTTTGAAAAGCTGGGGATTTAAACAGACCTAGAAACCTCTGAGGACCGGAGTTCAGCTCCCATGATGCAGAGTCTGGATAAACCCAGCGCCCGGACCACTTTCTGCTCGGTCCGTTGTGTTCAGCTGATCCAGCGCGACGCAGTCAGGGGAGCTCGAGCGCCGAGGGGACGTCGGCCAAGGACAGGCGGAGGAGAGGGGGCGTCAGGCCGGAATATGAGCCTGCCGGAGGGCCGGGACGGGGCGATGCCAAGAAGGACAGGTGGGAGCCCGCGGGCTGGCAGAAGCAGCTGGACAACATCCGGGAGATGAGGAAGGGGAAGGACGCACCCGTGGACCTCATGGGAGCTGAAAAATGCTTTGACGACCAGGCTTCTCCCAAGGTATGACAAACAGCCTTAGAACAAACAGGAAAACGAGCTCTGTGCGCCATTTCTCCTTATGCTGTTTATCCATTCATCGATTTTCGAACCGCTTTATCCAGTAACAGGACTGTGGGGCTGGAGCCTGTCCCAGCGAGCAACAGGCGCAAGGCAGGGCACACCCTGGACAGGACACCAGTCCATCGCGGGGCAGACACACAGACACAGGCATGCACACCAGGGCTGATTTTTCCCAGAAACCAATTAACCAACCTGCATATTTTTTTAACTGTGAGAGGAAACCAGAGCACCCAGGGGAAACCCCCACACTCACGGGGAGAACATACAAACTCCACACACACAGCATCTCAGGAATTGAATCCAGGGCTTCAGCACTGCCAGGTAGCAATGCTCACCACAGCGCCACTGTGTTTATACATAAATAGAATGAGTAGGGGTTGCCTGAATTTCAGTTTTAGTACACTTAAACAGTGTACTGAATATTTTATTTTCAGTTTCATAGAAGGAAAGAGCCTTATTTGTAAGGAATTAATTAATTACGGTATGCTTTCCCATTATATATGTTTGTTTCTACTAGAGTTGACCGTAATAAAGGAAGGCCTTGCCTTCTTTCATCAAGCTCTTATGTAGTGCAGACTTCACTTAGACGTTGTGTTTGGAGCTGTAGAGTTCACAATTACACGAGAGCCCCATGGCAGTTCTTCCTGGATTGATGTTTTGTTTTTTTCTGCGCTGTAGGTGATGCGATACCAGGTTCTGATTTCACTGATGTTGTCCAGCCAGACCAAGGACCAGGTGACCTCTGCAGCCATGACAAAGCTCCGAGACCACGGTCTGTCTGTGGAGAGTATTCTAAAAACCGACGAGGGCACCCTGGGGGAGCTGATCTACCCCGTTGGCTTTTATAAGGTAAAGAATGGGGCCAGATGCTCAGATTCAGCTGTCCCTCTACACAAGACTTCAACCAGTCCACTTAAAGTGGACATCAGCTCTTCAATTTAAAAAACGCCTTTTGTATCCTCGCTACGGATTTGATTTCGATACGTGCTCACACCATCTCTCAAGAACTGTACTTTTGCTTTGTGGTTTGTTTTTGTTTGCAACTCATTTTATTCATTTTTTAAATAAAGTGAAAAATGTTGCAACATGAAGACCTGGGAAAATCCTTCTTACTGAAATCTGGAAGTGGATTTCCTCTGCAATTTTAATACCTCCATAGGTAGCAACCTGGACGAGAATTTCCCAACTAATTCCCCAGTAATATGGTTGCTGTTAAAGGAGTTGCCATCCAAAGACATTCAGGGGAAGCCATAACTAGTGTTGTTAATGATCCCAGTGAACATTTCACCTTCTTACATTGTATAAGTGATTTAAATGGTAAATTTGTGTTTCAGACCAAGGTAAAGTACATAAAGCAGACAACAGAAATACTGCAGAACCAGTACGATGGAGATATTCCGGACAACGTGGCTGACCTGATCCGTCTCCCTGGAATCGGGCCCAAGATGGCTCACCTGATTATGAACATCGCCTGGCGGAAAGTGTCTGGAATTGGTATGTCGTGGCGATAAATGATCAGTGCCCCCTCATACCTCACATCAATGAAAGAAAGTTAGGTAACAAAATCTGGGATAACAACTGCAGTTTAATAAGTGAGTTGCTTTAAAAAGCTCTAATATGTAAATTTGTAAAACAATCAGCAGCCTTCAGTTACTGTAGCAGAGGGCAATTATTTAAAGGAATGGAAATCAAAAGTCCAGAGGCTGAGACTGGGAAGCTGCCATAGAAAAACAGAACCCTTCCTGTCTTTTTTTGCGATTTTGTAAAATGCAGGGACAGATGATGACTGCCTGTATGTCCCATGACTCATGTTTTCCGGTCCACCTTTATCGTGGGCCCTTAAAGCAAACTCGCGCTTCTCTGTTCCCGACCTGCAAAGGCATCTGTGTCTTCCAGGAGTGGATACACATGTCCATCGGATCGCCAACAGGCTGGGATGGGTGAAGAAAAGCACAAAGACTCCCGAGGAGACCAGAGTCGCATTGGAAGACTGGTTGCCAAGGTAACTGCACAGCTTGCCAGCCACAGCTTGGAGGCCTAGTTACTGTCCCTTATCTGTAAAGGGACAGAAGTGTTCTGTGGGGTTTTATCCTACTTTTTGATCACTAAAATAAAAAAATCTGCCAAAGTTTAGTTTTTTGGGTACGCCACAAATTAAATAATGCGATAAGTCTCTGCCACCTTCTCTAGTTGTCTGGAAGCAGTGCTTCTGCCGACATTTACTAATCCTAGTAATCTATTTCAGGGACCTCTGGAGTGAAATCAACTGGCTGTTAGTTGGTTTTGGCCAGCAGGTGTGCCTGCCAATAAACCCGCTGTGCTCAGACTGCCTTAATAAGGACAGCTGCCCCTATGCCAACAGC